AGAAGTGGATCGGTATCGAAGTCGACACGTTTTTTAGCTTTTTCGAATTTCGAAATTAATTTAGACATTTTTAAACGACCCCTGTGGTGACCTAGGCATCTAGCCATACTTACTGACCTACACATTTTCATTCCCAGGGTTATTTTTGCTAACCTAACCCGATAATCCCCAAAATTCTCTGGAAACTCCCGCTATTCTCTGGAAAAAATTGTTCAGAGCTTAATCTTGGCGCCTCGTTTTTACGCTACTGGCGCTCACGGCTAGAAAATATTTATTTTCGGCCGCTGCGCCGGATTACGCAAAATTGGCCCATTGTCCCACTAGGTCCAAAAATGAATGATCAGGCTACATTGTATGAGGCGGTATCGGATTCCACTGTAGATTAGAGCTGGTCTCATTGTGTAATTAGTGGACCGAAGACCTGGGCGATTAATGAAATTTACTTTGCTAAGGATTGTTCGGAAGGATTAGTGGACATACGATCAGTCACTGGATACCGTAGTACTAGATTGTTGCAGGATTCCCATACTACGGCCACTGTAACGTGTGCACTGCAAATGATAGTGCTCAATTTTGATACCTGAAAAAAAGAGATGAGGATCGGGTCCCGGGACAACTCGCTGAAGCGGTTGAGAGCCAGGAGAATGACCAGGATACAGGAACCCGACCAGAGTCCTGAAACAAGCCAATTTGAAGTATACATACATAACTTCTAGCTTACCAACTCCAATACTACCGCCAAGAAATACCAAGTGCGGATGTGTGCAGAAGACGGCGCCCTTGAGACAAAGATACCTAGAATCGAACGCTTTAACCTCAATTCGTCATTTTTAATTTTTCCCATAGCATTTTCAACGGCAAGTTCCATAATGAACGTATGGAGCCTGATGATTGCCCGAGGTTTTTTGCTAAATATATTTTGTTCTGACTAGCTGAGTAGTGGTTTGCCATGTCTGGCTTTCCAGCGGTTTCAGATCCCACGGGACATTCGTATGCTACCGTAAACACCACGGAAGCACGTAGGCTGACAGCTTGATTGCTTAGAGTTCAAAGACCTCTTGAGTTGCTTTTCTAGCTTATGGCCAATTAGGGATATGTTGTAAAGTCAAAAATTGTTACAGCAGTACCCACCCAGTGATGTATGAGTTCACGATGATGGAGAAAATGTCGAAGAACCCCATGGTAAACATGATTTTGTAGCATGAGTGCTGGGTGATCAGGCGGCTAGTGATCATCCCGATCAGGCATGAGGCGTAGATGAACTAAACGTACTAACTTGAGACGCTACGATAATTGCGAGTGGTGTGTCATATAGTACGCTATTCCATAACCGTTGTTGTCTTTAATCAAGGTGTTAGTCCACCGTAGCTTTCTCTTTTCAAAACAATCTTCAAATTTGCCCATCATCGTTAAAACTTCGCTTCTGAATTAATCCCTGTAGGAATGAAAAGGGCGCGTGAGAACGGTGTTTTCTAGCCGGCCAAAGAGCAAGCGTTTCAGAAAACATTTTCAAATTTTTGTGGGAGTCGCTAGGTATCGAGTTCTGCGTACGTACTTCGAAGAATTAGTAGAGAGAACTCGTCGTTGGCTGTGAACTACACCGAGAAAGGTGTAAGCGTTTATAGTAGGGGTAGAGTCACCAAGTGTCTTTGTCACAAATTCGAAAATTTGGAATTAAAATTGCGCAAAAACAAACTTTAGATGGACGCATATTCTAAGTTGTTAAGTATTAAAAAGCCTTTCAAAGAGTCAAGATATGAACTCACAATCATGATCGTCGCCGAAACAAAGAAGTAGATCGCAAAAAACGGGCGCTTGATTCCGTGTGAGTACCAGTAGTCTATAATCGTAGAATTGGTATGAAATAGCTCATTACTGACTTACCCAATGTATGATTCTCACACGAATACCATTCCGGATCCGGACCACCATGTCGAATGTATGAATACAAGCCCGACATGCCGAAACTAGACGTGATTTGGCCCATTGCGGAGTTAAGGAGAACTTTTTGCGAGAGCGTGCAGAATGAAAACTTCTCAATGTGGTACGACGAATTAATACCACGCAAGACAATGGATCGCAGAGAAGGGAAAGATTCTTGCGATTGTCCATTCCAATAACGGATTGTTCAATTTGGCGTGATTCCCATAAAGGCATCAAAAATGCGTCCAAAATTTTGGGAGGGTCGGGCAACAAAGTCACGCACGGTTACGTAAAAAGCAATAACCAGACAGAAAGAAGAATAAGTTCGCCCAGAAATTTGGAAATTTCGATTCCGGTAAATAAGTTTGCTCAGGATCGGGGTCTTGAGTTCTAAGGACCTTCTGGTAAAATCGAAACAAATCGAATCGTAATTCAGGCTACGGTATGATGTCAAATTCCTAGAAATTTGGCCTTCTCTACAAATAAAATCCGGGCAAGTATTGTTTTTAGAGGTGCCATAAGCGCAGGGAAAAGTGAAACAAATCAAATCGCAGTTAATACTATGGCATGCTAGTGGCCGGGCATAGTGCCCGATTCATAGAAACACATCCTTATATCCCGGTTTTCCTTAAAAAAACTTTTTGATCTTTGGATAGACCTCTGGGATGGAGGATACTGTAATGCAGCTGCCGTCTGGAATATTAAAAACGGCTTTCTTAATGGCCTAAGTGCAGGCAATGGTCCCTGGGGTGCATATTTCAGAGGCGTCAGTTCCGCAACAAACTGGAAAACATTCCGTACTCCATTCAATCATGCTCCAAGGGTAGACCAACTCCGAAACCGTCAGAAAGATTACGAAACTACGCTGGATGCTAAGTAACCAAAGTGGACGCTCCGGCATAAGGTAGATCACGGAGTAATCCAGAAGCTTACTTATATACCACACCTTGGTCGCTAGGCTAAAACGGCCCAGAGATCATCAATGGAGTCCAAAACCCAACGACAATGTGGGGTTTGGTAGACAATGGGTGGGGGTAGCTGATTGTCGTGTCTGAAAATAGCGTAGTAGAATGCAGGATTTTTGCAAAGGGCATGGATTACTCTGCTACATGAAACAAAGATGACTAGAGGGTTGCAACACATGCTCAACTACAAATTAGTCAAAATCCGGCAGGACGGTTCAAAGACTGAAGAATCCGAAGGCTAGAACAGTCGCAGATCTTTGTCGTTATTTATCCTCCCCAATTGCGCTTTTATGTAGGCTTCACCACATGGGGCACACCACCCTCACGGAAATCGGTTCTTGCTCGCAATCAGCCCCCGAGGATTTTAGGTTTTGGCCCCGATGAGCGCATCGCATGCCGGACTACGGTAGTTTCTTTGTTTTGCATTTTATTATTGTGATAGTCAGCTGTATTAATTGAGAACGATGATTTTTGGTCTAGCTATGGAAGAGAGAGAGAGAGAGAGAGGGACAGACAGCGAGAGAGAGAGTGAGCGAGAAAGAATGGGAGATAGTAGATTTTGAGGGTCAAAATTCAAGATCTGCGCACAACCATCGAGCGTCTCGATGCCCGGATGACCACTGCCGTCTGTTGACACGCATACATCTGTAGTTCCATGGGAATTTCCGACCCTGAATTTGTTGCCAAATCGAACGTAAATTTTATGAGAGTGTAGCTTTTCTCATCCTGAGAACCTTGCTGCCCGCCAGAGCGGATCTTTAGTACCACACTGATTGGCTGGTACCCCATCGCGTACTAGGAAAGGGTCCTTGACCTCCATATTCTAGTTTTGGTTGAGTTTGAGAGAAATTAGTTGGTTTTCCAATTCGAGTTTACCAAAGTGTGGCCGTTATTTCCCAAAAGATTTATGTTAGTCTTCCCCTAGCGTTTTTCCAATGCACCCCACGTTAGCCTTCTGGTTTTGGAGCCTAAAAAAAGGCGGTCCGACTAGCGTCTATGGTTTATTGCGATTCAGGAAGTTCCCCGTTCAAAACAAGCTCATTTCCAGCTGGTATCTAAGATCTGGCCAGCTGCTTTAGTGTCTTTTTGTAGGCCCTGGAAGCCCTTGAAGCGCCAACCAAACGTGGACGGCTACAGCGTAGTTGTCTATATGCCAAAAAAGCTCTGTTTTCCAAAAATAGGAAGTTTTAATGACAAGGCGTTTCAGGTGCGTGGGTTCCAGGAAATGGAATATTGTAGGACCTAATTATTTCGGGCCAAATCTTTAAATTTTCATAGCTTTGCCGGGATGAGCTATCATAAAAAGTGGACGGCTGCCCGCGCATCAAGTCGTCTGGTAGTCTCTGTTAGTGTGAAAAATATCAAAGTAAGGCTAAACCCAGAAACCCCCAGCCGACCCCACCCCTATCCCCCTTCATCTACAGGTGTGTAAAGTATACCAAAATACCCCAGAGCAAGACAAACATTTTGGTATACTACACCTGTAGATGACGGGGCCGAGAAAAGTTGGGTGCCGGCTGGGGTATCGAGTCTACCAAGTAAAATTTTATTCCAAGCTCAGACTCTTCTTCCATTTCCGCAATTTCCAAAATCTGGTCCGCCTTCAGAGGTGACGAGGTGCCGAGGTCCACGCGCTCCCCGTTCAAGCTCGACAAGTTCGCCCTAACATTCAACACTAAATCGGAGCCGCCCCCCGCAAGAACATCGAAATTATTTGGTGCGTCTATCTGGCCCCCGGATCTTACGCAAGCGGGTCAGATTGGAGGCGCGCGGGTAGACCTCCCAAGGGCGGCTCCTTCGCAGGTTAAAGTGCGACAAATCCTCAAAATGGCCGTCCGGCGGCATCATGTTGTCTATTTTGTTATTCAAATAGGACTGTTATTATGGGTATTTTCGAAGACGCGGCGAGAGGATTCGGTTTATTCGCACTACCAACATCACAACAAGTACAACGAGTTGAATCGAAAGGTTGAGCGAAGGGATGAATATCTGAGAGGTGGTTCTAAATAAATATACATACGCTTTTTGTAGCATTAATTTAACAATAATTACCCTTCAGATATGATCCATAACTATACCAATGACATTTTCCGTCCGGAAACTCCAGAAAATATGGAAATGAGCTCCGATTTGATCACCGGAGACGAGTTGATGTTCTACTATGCCTTTTATGAAACTAGGTAATTAGTATGCCGCCTTGCAATAATATTATGATCCCCAGAGACCCCGCAGGGCCTCGAATTCGAATAATCGGCACTGGAGATTGTGAAAAACTGAAGGCAGAGCACTTTTTGGTGGTGTTGGCTGATGGGAAGACATTGAATATCGAGCGGATATACGTTCTTGGCAGTAAGTTATTGGTTTTTTTGGTTTTTATTTTTTAATTCCACAATCATTCTTAATCGTAGTTTATCTTATTTAGTTGCAATTTTTGTGATCGATTTGGTGATATTTTTAAGGCAGCGACTGTCCTGGATTTATCGGTGGCCACTGTAAAATGCCAGAAATGGAGCTGTCGACAAGTATATTCTTTGAAAAGCCATCGCAAACGGTTTGGAAAAAATTTCTTTTTGGAATCCGATTCTTGAATGTCAGATTACCATCTTCCGACAACAATCATTTGCCAAGGTTCAGTTACATCGAATTCCGAGCGCTTATTCGCCCGGGATTACGCCATGTAATTCGACTCCCTTATATTGGTATATTTTTCAGCGCGTATACGTCAAGATAAAATGTTTGATTTAGGTACAACGATTGGCCACGGCTGATGATTTTTATAGAGTATTGGATGAAAAGCGGTTCCAAGAAGATATTAATGCACGTACATTCTGTATCAACTGCTACGAAGAAATTGCTGGATTATTATGTGAAAAAGGTAAGCTCCTAAAGAGTAGAATAGCGTAAACCTGACTTAAACTTTTATTTAGAACGGATTAATTTTATTTTCAGGGCGTCGTCGAAACCCGGCCTGTTCCCTTGATGCCTTATAGTCAAAAGATAAACCCAAATAATTATGTCTACCATGGCGCTGTTCATTTGACTACACTGTTTTGCTCAATTTGGTCGGAAACCGACTACACTGTAGTTGGGGATGTTGATGAGATATACTACGTCAGGTTGGTAACTTTTTAAAGTAATAATCATATGTAGTCAGTTAGAATTGTAAATCCCAACTTCTTAATGTCGATCCATATTGCAGAAACCATTCCGACAACCTTCTTGATGTCGTGCACCGGCATTTCACCGAAAATTTAAAAACAGGTATTTTTCCAGAATTTTTATAATGCTCCATTAGGCGCCCTAAGACTACAGCATAGTGCTTTGGGCTTCAAAGAGCCGATAGCCCCCTCACCCTGGGACTACAAGCAATTTCGGCAGCTGAATTTCCTAAGAACCGCCGTACCATTCCTCAAAGAGAGTTTTGAGGACAAGATGAAAGTAAGGGAAGAAAATTCGTAGTGAAATTTTAATGATTTTCAGTACCTCTACGAGACTCGCTTCGGGAAATCGCCAAACATGCACTTCATGCGAGAGTTCTACGGGGATAAGCAGACGTCTGCGGTACTACTTATTTGGAGAAACGGTTAATTATTCAATTTTAGTTGTCTGACAATGAAGTTGCCTATCTCGAGATGAGAAACGAGGATTTGGCGCAGGCCGGGAATCATTCTAGTCGATACCCGGAATTTGAAATGTTTACGGTAAGCGTAGCCCAAAGCCGAGACTAATTAAGCGCCTGTCTAGAATTTATTGACACCCGAGATTAAATTACCTTTCCTGTTTTCTAGGATCTCGAAATTCAAGTTATGCGTGAACAACTAAAAGAAATTTTTGGGGATGACGAGCCACCGTTTCGATTTCAAAGTATCTTACCGATACTCGATGAATGCATGTACAGGTCAGGCAGTAGCTCTCTTTTTAAAGTAACACAATTTAGGCTTGATTCCGAGGGCAGAGATTGCAACAACCCCCTAAAATCAGAGTGCTTTGAAAGATTGAAGGATATGGACGACTGGTTGTATGCGGTGCCGACAGAAGATTCGCATTTTATCCCGATTTGACCTCTGCAGATAATTGTGGCAATAAAAAATAAAATAATGTACAAAAAGGTGAAAAACTACTACTACACATAACCAATTAACCCCCCCCAAAAACCCCCCCACCCCCCCCCCCCCCCCCCCCCCCCCCCCCGCCCCCCCCCCGGGGGGGGGGGGGGGGGGGGAAAAAAAGGGGCCCCCCCCCCAAATTTTTTTGAGCGGCAAATTTGGTATAGGCTCTGGCTTCTGGTGGCCTGCTACCGTACCCCTAGCGCGGGCGGCAGCGCCGGAGCTGGTATCAGCCGCTTTCAATTATAACTTCCTTTTAATTATTGTTCATGTCGAATCGGTCCAAAGGTGCTTCTGTGACGTTAAAGACTTACTAAAAATTTTTAGGTAGCGCTGCAGCCTCACCCTGCCTTGAATTTAAGGCATAGAATAAGTCTTTGTTAGGTCAAGAAGACCAGCAAGTTAGAACATACCCCAGCACCACGATGAAAATCCACTTCCCCCGACCAAGAACATCGAAACTGTTTCGTGGGTGTATCTGGGCCCGGGATCTTTTGCAAAGGGGTCAGATCGAGGGCGGGCAGTAGCACCTTTCGGGAGGTGACGGTACCCCACCTAAGCCCTCAATCGCGAAATGGCTTTGAGGAAACATCATCTTGGGTATATTGCTATACAATTGGCGCTTCTACTTTGGGTATTTCTGGAGACAAGGCGAGACGATACTGTATATTCTCACTATCAGCACCAGCACAAGTACAGCGAGTTGAACCGGAAGATACATCGGAGGAATGAGTATTTGAGAGGTTGGTTCGTAATTCAGGCCGATACCTAAACGTTTTTAGACATGATCCACAGCTCTAAATCTGAGATTTTTCGGTCGGCAAATCCAGACAATGTGGAGATGAGCCCGGACCTTATTACCGGTGAAGAATTGCTAGTCTATTACGCTTTTTATGAGACGAGGTAGTCAAATTCTGTGGAAATTACTTTTCTATTAATTAGAGACCCTGCTGGACCTCGTATTCGTATAATCGCCACTGGGGATTGTCACAAAATGAAAGAGGAGCAATTTTTGGTGGTGCTGGCGGATGGCAAAACGCTGTATATTGATAGGATTTATGTTATTGGAAGTAAGTAATGAACTTTTTATATTTTCATAAAAATTGGTAGATAATTTAAATATATTTTTAGCTGCTGGTTGTGCTGGTGGACCTGGCGGTCACTGCAAAATGCAAGAAATGGAACTATCGACGAATATCTTTTGGGAGAAACCCTCTCAGAAAGTAGTAATTATGATGATTCTTTGGAATAGATTTAGATAACCATATTCCGTCAACAATCCTTCGCCAGGGTTAAATTACATCGAATTCACACCAATTATATTCCTGGGATTACTTCATGCAACTCGACACCGTTATATTGGTAGTTTTGGGAGCTTTATAACATCCGGTTTTGTGATTAGGTATAATGACTGGCCTCGGTTGATGATTTTTATTGAATATTGGAGAAAGACTGGTGTTCACAAAATATTAATGCATGTTCATTCTGTGTCAGCTGCTACCAGGAAGTTACTGGATTATTATGTGAAGCAGGTTGGGTTACGATTTAATTAAATTATCGATTTTCAGGGTATCGTCGAACTCCGCCCAGTCCCCTTGATGCCCTATAGTCAGCGATTTAACCCTAATGAACACGTATACCATGGCAATGTCCATCTAACTACCCTTTTCTGCTCGATCTGGTCGAATACAGACTATACTGTTGTGCACGATGTGGATGAGATATTTTATGTTAGGTGAGTCGTAAAACCGTCACCAAATATGAGTGAGTTTCTTTTAGAAACAAATCCGATAACCTCCTCGATATTGTCCATCGGCATTTCAGCACGGCCGAGAATCCGAATGCAGGTTGGTGGTAGATGAAACCAGCATTTTTTTATCCATTCAGGCGCTCTAAAACTCCAGCACAGCGCATTGGGATTTAAAGAGCCGATAGCGCCTAATCCTTGGAATTTTGGAAAGTTTCAAGAGCTCAACTTCCTGAAAAGTGCCGTCCCATTCCTTAAGGAGAGCTATGAGGATAAAATTAAGGTTATCCGCCACACAGCGTGAATTAGCCAATTTTAGTACATCTACGAGACGCGGTTCGCCAGGATTCCAAACATGCATCTGATCCGTGAATTTTTTGGGGACAAGCAGACCGTGGCGGTAGGAAAATCTTGAACAACCCACTAAATTGAATTACAGTTACCCGATACTCAAGTTGCTTACCTCGAGATGAGGAATGAGGATTTGGATCAAGCGCGGAATCATACTAGCCGATTTCCGGAATTTGAATTGTTTACGGTAGGTAAAGAAGACTGACGACTAATTATGCCAAAAAGGCAGTAGAATTTTATCAACCAGATTGCTTATTTGACCAAGAATTATTTTAGGACTCCGAAATCCGAACCCTACGCCAAAGCCTGAAGGTCATTTTTGGCGATGACAATCCACCTTTTCGGTTCCAAGGCATCTTACCAATCCTGGAAAAGTGCATGTACAGGTTTGCAGTAATTGTTAGATAAAAATGTGATAATTTAGACTAGACTCCGAGGGCAACGATTGCAATAACCCCCTAAAATCTGAATGCTTTCGAGAATTGAAAAATATGGATGATTGGTTGTACGCGGTGCCGACGGAGGAGTCCCATTTTATCCCGATTTGATCTCATTGTAGTTTGATGCAAATTTAACAATAATTTATTGATAATATGGAGAGAGAGGCTTGAGCAGAACGTTGTAAGACACTTGTAAATTGCTGAGGAAAAGGCCAAAAAAATCATCATGACGAAGATAGTTGCACAGCAATAATTGTAATGACCGGGTCGGAGGCAGAAATGCATATTAAAAATGACGCAAGGTGATTTATGTCTTAAAAAATCTAAGGGCACCAAGTACAAAAGCGTTTCCAATTCCAAATTTTTCATTTAAAAGTATGTTTTTTTTACTCACTCTGCTTATTGTTGTCGACAAGTTCGACCAAGAATGCAATTAGCCGCGCAAAAAATACAAATTGACGGAAGAAATTGGCAAAAATAGCATCAGGGCAAAGGGGGTTGATTACAGCTTGACCGTCATGCCCTGCGGCGTGGGCAACTTGTTCACTAGCATTCGCGTTGGTGATGCCCAAGATCGAGGAGATATCGTGAAGCATCTCCGGCGAGAACGACTGTATGATGTTAGCGTACAGGTTTTCGACACCGTCCAGTGGTCGCTTGAGGAGGTGACGCTAAAAATTATGCGTTCTGTGTAATACATATTTTCTTCATCACGAAAAAATTTTATAAACATACCACCAAAATATGCCTGACGAGTTGTTTCTTCTCTTTGTAGGTGGCATTGCAGTGTTGGCATGGAAATCCTGAAATCAATATTTCTCTTGTTCGTTGAGAATTTACCGTGCTCCTGGCTTTGATGGAGGGCGAGCTCGGTTTTTGAAGGAAGGATGAAGCCGCACTGGCACTAAAAGTAGATTTGCGGATTAAAATTTGATTTTTGGTTAAGATTAGAATAAACAAAAATTTTTTGATAAAAGCTACCATTACCGTGGTCTCAAGCAGATGATCGGGCAAGTGCTGGGCAGCCAATTCTTCGGCCCTCGATGCCATTCCACACCTAAAAACAGCAATTAGAAGTGGACTTTTTGAGCCTTGCCAGGGACATGTCAAATCTGGTTGCGGTCGGAGGATGATCGCTTCATTTTCCGGTTTCTTAGGTTCTTCAGTAGATTTTTGAAAGTTTTCTGGCGTCGTCTTTTTCTCCAAGACGATTTTATGAACCTTAAAAGAAAAAATTAATGAGCGCTTGACCGGAAGCCAGCCAGGCATGTTCTTGCGGAAGAAAAACTTAAAATCCTTACAACTTTGAGATGCGAATCAAGGCTGTAACCGCGGGTGAAGGTCGCAGGACAAGCGGAGCATTGAAAGGGTCGATACCCTAAAATAAAGATTTCCTTAATAACTTTACGAGTACCCATGGTATGGGTAGGCTGGTGATTGAGGAGTCGAGAGCGAGACTTGAAATGGAGACCGCAGAAGCCGCACTAAACTGGATTTATAACAAAAACTGAAGAGGAATTTTCCTATTCGCTACAATCTCACTAGTAAATTATATAAAATGAGGCTTTAGCGTTGCTGGTCCATATAAAAACTATTTCGATTCGAAGCAAACCTCTTGCCTCCGTTCTCGTCCAATCACTCTTCCGTGGTTGGCGAGGTGATTGAGAAATTCGGTGTAATTCGTGAAGACGCGAGCGCAGCCTTTGCTAAAAAATAGGATTTGATTAATACTTATATAGCCATCATACGACTGAAAAACGACTCACTTTATGCACTTGAACTCCATCTTTGGAAGGGGGTGTTCTTGAGGTGGATTAGCGGTTGTATCATTGATCTAAGGATTTGTCATTCATAATAGCCGGATTCCCGCAATCGATACCTTTGCATCTTCAGCAACATGGACTTCAACGCAATGACCTCGCAGTGCAGAGTATGTATCGAAAGTTGACGCCTTGCACGTCGGCCTAAATTACCAATTTTGACATCTTAAGTCGAAATTAATTGTTAGCAGTCTTTGCTATGATCTGGTAAATAAAAGTTGATGTGGATTCAACATGCCATGGACAGTGAAGTCGCGGTGCCGCAGATGCGGTTAATGCCGGACTTTTTGGCTGCATCCTGGGCTCTTCCTAGAATTACTCACTTTCCCACTAAATACTATACACTACAGAGCGCAACCGGTTTTTCGCTTTTCACAACTTACTTGTTCATCTACGGCCTCTTCTTTGACCTGGACAGCCAGACGAGCTCGCTTAGGCAGAAAATGGGCTGGGATGCCGGCTAACCTAGCTAAACCCTCTGCAAACAATCTTACTTACGCCAATGCTCATCAAAATGACGCCGTAGCATATATTGGCTCAGGAACGGCTCGCTGCAGATGCAGCACTAACATTTATGCTGCGCAAAATTAAGATACTAGCCCCCTACTTTGTGTTCAGGCCCGCCATGTCGGATCAAGTGACGCTTCAAAGCACATAACGTGGTGAATTCTTTTTGGCAGTCGGTCCTCAAAAATGCATTTACAAAGAAGGTAGAAGGCTACACCTATTTTTACTTTTGTAAATTTAATGGGAAGGAAGTCACGAAATTCTAGGTGTTACCTGTTGCATCGTAGCCTCGGCTGAAGAGTATCTCCAACCACCGGATCGTAGAGGATCTTTGTATCGGGTGGCATCGTTGGATGCAAAACTTAAAATTGGCATTCTGGGCTGAAGCAATGAAAAAAGGTCGATCAAGGTATCCAGAATTAATGAGGACCGCCATGCTTTTCGGACCTCGGTTTCGATACGAGGGGTATGGGAGAAGCGGGGCCCGGCTAGACGGACCCCTCATTAATGCATCATCAATAGCGAAAATTAAAAATCGGCACAAAAATACCTATCATACTGAATGAACGACCGGCCATCGTTTACCCATCTTTAGGTTGTATGTAAAATGAAAACCCCGGGGGCCAATCAATGTCGGGCGGACGATCAGGACTGTCGGAGGAGGGCGGAGCTATTTGAAGGAATGGCATGGACACAGATGGTTGGAAGCAATTTGTAAGCGCGGTATCGATCAAGGAGGATGGGATCAGCACAAACAAATTCTCGGGGAGAGTTGTAATGAAATTCGATCGATATTTTTATCGTGATATCTTCAAGCCCAGGAGGAGAGATGGAGAGAGAGAGAGAGAGAGAGGGGAGAGAGAGAGCGAGAGAGAAAGAGAGAGAGAAAGAGACAGAGAGACAGAGAGAGAGAGAGAGAGAGAGAGAGAGAGAGAGAGAGAGAGCGCGGAAGAGAGTGAGAGAGTGAGAGAGAAAGAGACAGAGAGACAGACAGAGAGAGATAGAGAGAGAGAGAGACACAGAGAGAGAGAGAGAGAGAGAGAGCGGGAGAGAAAGTGAGAGAGTGAAAGAGATGAGATTGGTGCTGCTGTCGGTTCGATTGCTTAAAATGGACCACCCAGCTGGAATCTTCAGACAAAGCAAAAAGACGGAGCTTCTACCCATTCGGGCCCTAGTACGCGGCAACTCGTAATGGCTTCCCAGAGCCAGGGTCGGCTAACCGTCCTCCATCAATCGGTTTGCGAAATTCGGGTCCAAAATAATCGGACGAACCGATCGAACCTGATCAGGGAGTTGTTTGTGTTGGCTTGAGGAATTGGTAATAGTAGAAAGCCTTAAAAAATGGAGTGTACCACTGCAATATTGATGAATGGTTTATCCCCACGAAAACCGCTGCAAAAAGAAGGCACAAAGCGCGTTACAAAACAAGATAAACAAACAAATTTCGCGTCAGGATATCCAAGGTACCCGAAATTAGCACAGTCTACAAGAACATTCGAATGGGGATGGTTAGTAATTAGTTCTTCGCGGGCGACGAAGCGTTCTGCTCCGTTGCACTCCTGAATGGTTTATATTTTTGACCTGACGTACTGAAATCTTTTACGCAAATTTGCACCAACCTTTGTTTCCGGGGCCTTTTCGGGTGAGTACGAGACCCTTTTTCATGGCGTTTCAGCTCTTTTGCCGTCGCGAATGCCATATCGCAACCAGGCCTTAAACAATTTTTCAGACTTTTTATTTCAAGCCCACATCTGGCATTGGAAGGGCCGTCTTGGGTCGATGCCCACGTCCAGGTAGCGATGGAAGCGCAGTTGCTCTCCGTTTGGCGACTAAAAATAAACTCGAACAATTTGTGCAAAAGCTTGGCTACCGTAGGATGGACTTCAATCCAATGATTTTGCAACTCAAGCACGGTGCTGAAGCGCAGGGTGCAGAATGGGCTGAAAACATTCTTTCTTGGTTTCGCATCTACAGGGTGTCCCAACCCCCCCTCTAGCGGCGCCCAGACGTGTCCGATTCTCGACGTTTAGGTATCTATCGAAAGCTCTCGAAAAGGCGAGAAAACAATGAGGGTTCATTTTCTTTATTATGTATTTTTATTGGCGAATTTTACCTCCAAAATCCATGAAAACGGCAGATTTACGCGAGATCCGCATGCTAATTGCGAAATTCCTATTGAAAAGCTATCTGTCTTTTAGAAAAACGCTGAATATCGGACAAATCAGAATAAATCTTAGAAAATGAAGCCCGCTTGTTTTCTCGCCTTTTCCCGGCGTTCGAATGGTATAAATCATCCTGTCTGGCTTCCCGGACCGCTGGGGGGGTTTGGGACACCCTGTATCTAAACTTACACGCCACAGGGATATTTGCGAGGGGCGTATTCCAGCAACAGCAAGTGGTTCTAAAGGACCCGTATAAAATTATAATCTGATGCGACCCACCCCATTATGCCCCAAAAATAGTCCAGCATCAACGAAGCGCTCTCCACAGATATTACAAGTGTGTGCGGGGGTGGCTAAATTTAGGTTGGTAACATTTTTCGTTACTCGATAGCTCACGGAGATGCTGCTCAAAATGAATTGGTAAGTGGGAAAGGATGCATCGCTCTCCGCATATGAAGCACTGAACAGTGACGGGTTAAGTAGTCTAGAGAGAGACGGGGGGGAGAGAGAGAGAGAGAGAGAGAGAGAGAGAGAGAGAGAGCGATAGAAAAAGGGAGAGAGAGCGAGAGAAGGAGTGAGTGCTTTACCTTCATTCCCTTGCAATGTCCTCGCATATGCTCAGCCCATAATTTCATATCTTCGAAGCGCTCCTGGCAATTTACCCTATAATTTTCCATTCGACCATTTTTCCGTTTTTATCCAGTCCTTCATGGAGTAAAAAGCCTTCAAACTTACTGTAGGCACTCGATGACATCCCTCGGATCGTTTGCGTTTTTTGGAGGAGTTAGGTGAAGGAGCGCTAGGTTTGGTGTTAATAATTAAGCAGGAAGGTACTGTTCCAAAGCGCGGCCAGTTCTGGGGTGATGGTGGGCAACGCCTGGGTGTCAAAGGTGGGGGTGAAGGTGGGAAGTGCTGGATCTCCGTCTCGCGGCTCCACAATGGTCAGCATCTCTGGTAGACCGCTGGATGCAAGGGGATCCTAAAAATACCAGCATCAGAGCGAATTCTTTTAATAGTGATTCTGCGTAAACCCCGGATTCCAGATATAAATTTTAGATTGTAAATTACTTGAATTTCATCCGGCAAGGTTGGTTGGCCGGGGAGATTGACAGAGATGTGGTCCGGATTTTGAGCCATCCTGGAACAGCGTTGAAAGGGCTCTATTTATTACGACTTCGAGAGGTATAATCATCGCAACTTTATCTACTCTTCCCCACCCAGGTTTTGAAGCATTTTAGAATTATCTTTTTCAAAGAAGATGTGATTTTTCGGTAAGACTTTACTTCCCCCCCCAGCCGAAGAATCTCCAGTCTTTGGTATTTTCGCTTATTTTGTCGGGATTATTGCAAGGTCATTCGATAGAGCATCGAAAAATAGGGACACATAGGGTAACGGGGAAATAACGGGGGCACTCAAACTTTCTATATGATAAAAGTATTTTTAAATATGCTTTTTTTGGGCTGTAAAAACAACTCTTAGTATATTTTTCGGTCCTCTATCGAATGGCATTTTCAAAATCTCGAACATATTCAAAACGCCGAAAATTTTTTTCCCCCCTGTTATCCTATGTGCTGCCCATAGTTTTCAAAAATAGTTTTTAGGCTATAAAACTTTTATAATACATTTTTTCGCGTTGTGAAAAAATCTCTTAGTATATTTTTTGATGTTCTATCGATTCGCGTTTTCAAAATATCCAAAATCTCAAAAATTTGGCTTCCCCGTTATCCTATGTGCTGCCCATGGATTTTGGTCAATTTTTGTTTATTCGATAAAAAATTTCATTTACATTATTTCGGGCTGAAATTAATTCTCCTAGGGCAGTTTTCGACGCTTTATCGAATGACGTTTTCAAAATACCGAAAATTTCGAAAATTTCGAAAATTTGACTTTCCCCCCGTTATCCTATGTGCTGCCCATAGATTTTCGTCAATTTTTGTTTATTCAATAAAAAATTTCCATTACATTATTTTGGGCTCAAATTAATTCTCTTAGTATATTTTTTGACGCTCTATCGAATGGCACTCGCAAAATCGCTCAGTAATTGCAAATTTCATAATAATGAGTGCCCCCCGTTATTTTATTCCCCCCGTTACCCTATGTGTACCAAAAAATATACCACGAGTTTCAATTTGAGCCTACAATAATGTAAAATAAAAAAGTTCTAGCCAAAACATTTCGGCTCGGGGTAAAGTAAAGAGTAGTCAATTTTTCTATTAAACGAGGTACTTAATGATGAAACCAATACTGTAAAATAAAATGTCCAGAAGTGATTCAGCTGTTTGTGTGAAATCGAGTCCGCTCGCGCAGTTTATTTTTATCTAATGTTGGCATCTTCCTAGGGTAGGCAGACAAAACAAAATGGCGGCCCGGAATAGGGGTAAGGGAGCTTCATCAGCCATTCACGACCGCTAGTGACTCATAGTTGAGATCTCAAAAACACGATTGATCGGTTGATATTGGATGGGGTAATTTCAGTAGCAGAATCGGGGATGGACATTTTTCGTAGTCGCAAAGTATCGTAGTCCGCAATGGGCAAAATCTTTGTAATTATCATGTGTGGTCTGTATTTAAATTATGCTTCTCCTCAGAATTTTGCACAATTGCAATGTTGCATTTGCAAATTCGTTGCTAACAAACATTTTATTCATTACTTCAAGGCTGTTGACAAGAAAATTTCATACGATGGATAGAAGAGACGTTTTTGAAACCACACGAGGTAGTGAAGAAAAGTAGAATGAAAAGTCATAGGTCGTAGTAGGAAGGTACCCAGGAGCATCAAAGTTCCGCTAATTTCCGTTAGTTGGGTCGATTGGCGGGGCAGCGTCTGAAATTTTCTTGAGATGTTTTACGAATGATTGATTCCTCTATCCCGGATGGCGTCCTTTAGATTTGCTTCGAAAACTTACCCCCGATGCGCTTTCTTGAAGTGACGCGCGAGCGCCTCAACGCGCTTGAAGACCTTGGCGCATGATGGGCACTAAGCGGCAATGATGACATTAAAATTAAGAAAAGTTTTACATGAAAGCGGCCCCCTTGCTTGTGGGTGTCAAGGTGGCGGGACAGTTGGCTGTTGCTGGTGTGGCTCGAAGAGCAGTTTGGGCTGAAATTTTGATTATAACAAGGTTCCAGCACAGACGTTGTTAATAACTTTATAAATACTGTAGTTACTTTGCAAAAAAACGTACTGCTTGCATTTGTAGAGTCCGCTTTGACTACTGCCAGCAGCTCGGTTTGCCTGTGTTTTTGGGGATATTGCGCCTTTCTTGAAAATATTTTTTAGCGAAAATTCGCGCACGGTAGCTTTCGTTCTTTTCGTGATCAGTTTTCGCCAATTTCTATTACCTAAAAACTGGTTCTAACTTCATCAATAAAAAATTCAGATAAACCTTAATCTGGCCCTAAGTTTTCAGCTTTGAGTTACTTTGACTTCTAGATGTCCGTGAGTCTTATAAAACCATCGTTCATGGGTTTGCAGCGCTGCCAAAAATCCGTATTCTATCTGATCGAAGAATCAATTAGAAAGTTGCACTCACTGTTGATCTACAACTGTGTAAAGCATACCAAATACTCGCCAGAGCAAGACGAACATTTTGGTATACTTTACACGCCTGTAGATGAACAGGGAGCCCAGATACAAAAATTGGGCGCCGGCTGCGGGGAGAGGGGTAAACTGCACTCTAACCTTAAATCCTACTCTGGGGTGCCGTTTGTCCATGTGTGCAACGCGCTCCTGCTCCGTTTTGAACAACAGACCGCAGTTTACACTGCAAAATTCGGATTTTACCAAGACCGTACTATCCCCTACTTAAGCAGCCGTGTGTAAATGTGTTGAGCTCCCCGTTGTTTCGATGTTCCTAAGGAGATAGACTATCGGTACAGGCTGAACCCCCACGTTCAGGTGTGCGTCAAGTCGAGCCGGCGACAGAAAATCAAGGTTGCAGATCAGGCAGGCCCGCCACGCTGAACCAGACAAAATTATGAAAATTCCTTTCGGGGCTACGGAGGTGCTGCTGCAAGTGCTGACGGAGGCTGCCCACTTGGCTGTACTTTTGATGGCACCGGAAGCAGTGGATTTTCTAAAAAAATGGGGCAGTTGTTTACGATATTCCCAGGCTATGTATCCCATAATTTTTGTTATTTACCCTTGATCAAGTATATAAGTATGTCGGCTTTACCTGAAGCTCGTTACGATGCGCATGATGCGTGTGCAGCCACCAATTCTCAAGCCCGTCAGAGAGCACCTCACAGTTCGGGCTGGAATTGTATAGTTCAGCGAATTTCACAAAAGCTGCATACATCAGACAAGCTACTTGATCTCCTAGGGCTTGCGTGGGAGTGGAAACTGGCGCAGGGAGGAGGGGCACCTCTGAAATTGGAGGAGCTCAAATCCAAATTACGCCTACTTTCCGGATCCGCAAGGTAAGGTGCATGTTGATTTTCGGTGGTGTCGGGTAAAGCAGGGTGGTTTTGTTCGGCTGGAAAATAGACGGTTGTTATCCTTTCGAAGATCGATACCTGCAGTCGGCGGCACAGCAGGTTGGACATGGACAGGGAGCGGCAGTGCCAATGGGTTCGGGAAGCTCATGGCCTAAAGAGTTCAACTAAATGGCTCAATTTAAGACGGAAGATAAAAAATATACGACCCTAGAAAACTACTGTAAATGATACGGAATGCATGCAAAAGCACTCAGAAAGAGAGGAAGCCATTGGCTGTCGGAGGGGGAGGAGCCCATTTACCTGACGGTCTATCGTAGCATTTGATCTTCGCGTGTGGGCCCAGCGTATTCAGACATAAACAAAATCGGGTCAGCAAATGAGGAGAGCAGTTCCATGGGCAATTCTTGAAAATGATGACTCACAAATCGGTCCGTGAAAAACAGATTGATCCAAGGGTTAGAAAACGAGTTGACCACTTTCTAGTCGTCGCCGAGGGACTCTAAAAATTCGCAAATCCCTATAGAGTTGGAAGAATCTAGATTCGATCCCTATTAACAGCACAGACTCTAGAATGTTTTTCATAAATTCCATGCAGAGAGCTATTGCAAGCTACAGACGCGCGCTGCAACTTCCTTAGCTACACCTCTCCCAAAAAAAGGTGACATCTAAACTATTGTGCATTCGCCTGTTGAAATGACAATAATATTTATCACACGAATTCACGACAGTGGCAATATTGCTAGAGGTGGGATGTATTTTGCGAGGTTAGGGCCTTTAGTGAGGTAGAGTTGGATTGCTATAGACGAAGCAGCTACGAGTCCGAGTCGGTTGAATCCGTGTAGAACACGTTGATGATCTCTGGAAATTTCTAGTCAAAGTCGAAACAGGCAATTTTAGCCCAAATCCAGCAAAGCATACCAATAGGTCGATTCTCCGGATCCCTAGCTTCTTCAAAGAATTTGAGCAACTCCTCGGCGGGCGGGGTCATGACGATGGGCTAAAAGAGTTTCATTGTTTTGTTTCCAGATACACCAACCGTTGGCTCTTCCGGGAATACGATCGACTTGTGCTGCAAGCCCGGTGTACGCTCGCACTTAAATTGAATTTGACAAGACTGGTTGTTTCTTATTCGTCCTTTTAGACTAGATACGGCACCTCCTGCGTCCAGTACACCCAATTAGAAGCGAGCTTCGGGATGACCTTTCCCTCGATCCCGGGCTCGATATATTTCAGCCATAACCCATCCATAATTCGGTTCGAAATTGTCGCCGATGGGCAGCACATTTTTGCTACGGCCACTAGCTTGTGGTAGTCGTCGGCGTCGCTGAAAATTTAAGTTAACAAGTTTTAAAAATTCCCAAAAGCGGCTTCGGTCAAGCCAATAACTTACAAAGTACTGTACGGCTGGCTTTTACAGGCTGCGCGCTGTCCAAAGTGTGACTTATCGTAGATCGGAAACACTTGGCCGCATACTGGAAAATGAACAATATCGCTTTCTGACACTTCTCACCGCGACAAAGCAGCGGCAGTTTGGAATAATGCCGAGATAGGATGTGCTCAATCAGGGTCGAGGCAGGTGTCTTTGCCTTGAAGCGCTTGTGGCATTTCTGAACAAATATAAATTGGGAGGACCCAGCTCGCACCAGAAATAATTGAAGGCATTGAAGCAATAGTAACCTACCGGGTCCCCACACTCAAAATCCTCTGATATCAGCGCCACCACATTTTCCATAGCGCGGTTTTTCGGTTCGTTGCCGTCCACCGGTCTCGGCAGGCCTTTCTAACTAAAACTTGGCTGGTAACCTTACAAAAAATTTAAGCTATCAAATATCACAAGGTCTATAAAATATACAGCACGGACCGCACAAATCGGGCACACTTGCTCTGGCGAAAATTTTGACATTTTCTAGTGGGACTACCTCACATATGCTCTACTCTACGTAAACATATCGGGGTATCGGGGCGCAATTTAGCGGCTGCCCTTAGAAATTGGGGAGGTCCGATCGGAGTGTGGTGGTACCATATGGAAAGCAAACGACCCTAAAGACTGTCCCAATCGGGGCTGCCATCCCGGGACCCCGAGTTGCAGCTGCGTTGGGTCGGCCAAATCTGCCAAAAAATTGAGAGTTTTTGGGGGGGTTGCGCAAAGTGTGTGAGGGGTTAGTCTCAAACCAAAAAATACATTCAAACGAATCGACAGTCGGGACTAAAGGTAGAAAAGCTAGGCTTAGACACAGGTTTTTCATAGCGTTTGACAAAGTAGATTCTTAGTTCTTTTTGACCAGCACGAAATTCGGCCTCACGGCCGAGAAATCGTCTGTACAGAAAACAAACATACTTTTCTCGCTTATAGGATAGGATATATAGGATAAAATAGTGTGAATTAACTGGACCCGAAATAAATTTAATAAACCGGAAATCGATTTTGGTGAACTGTTATTAGCTCGTCGGGCGAGTGCTGAGACAAGAAGCCGGGGTGGTCCACCGATATGATCGACTATTCGCCTCGGAATCGATGAAGACCCGGCTACCCACAGCAGCGCTGAATTTTCGATGTAAAATGACGTAACTATAGGAGGACAGAAACATCAGCACAACCTCAAATCCTCCAAAAATGGAATCTGGCTGTCCATTTTCTCGGCTAAAATAAGAAAAGGAGCATCACCAATTAGAAGCAAGATCTAGAATCAAAAGTTTATCTTAAGGATTCCCTTTTTATAGCATTGCCTTACAAACCGCTTATTTGGAAACCTCCGGAATTAGAGCATTCGAATGAAAATCCCTCGGGGGCACATTGAAGGCTGGGGGCGACCGGAAATTTGTAGTTAAAAAACAGGCCATTTCCGCTCCTGGGAAACTGGCCTATGCGTCCCCTTCTTGGTGTGTAATTTCTTTTATTTTCTTTTCCGTTAGCTGTCTGTTTTGAACGTTGCCTAAGCCGCGTTTATTCGCTTAAGATCTCCACACCAAATCAAAGCTGGGTGTGGACAATTTGTATTCACTTCCGGTTCTCGACAAGGCAGCCTGCAGTCGTTTCAATTCAGAATTCCACTTAAGGATTGAGGCATCTGGAAGTCGCCCCATTTTCGCAACCTCAGTACGCAGTTTACTTATAGCTTCCATAGCTTTGGAGTCCGTGCAAATCCTAAAAATACACGTCATTTTTAAAAAAACAGGTTACCATTTCAAGCGCTTAGCCTGGGAAATGTCGATTTCCGATTTCAACCGCTCGCTCTTGCCAAGTAAAACGGTATTGCATGATTCAGGGATCCGCAGACGAAATGAAAAATCCGAAAATTGAAAAACTATTTTTCTCGGCTTCAAGGCTCTAAAAAGATAGGTGAGCCTCTGATTCAAAAGCTTACGCAAGTAAAAGATTAAATTCCTCGCGGTAATGGATTGCATTTAAGGTCAAATTTTCGACATGGAGCTTCTTGGAAATGGCGTACTGTATCAGGTTGACGACGTTTTGTAATGATGCCCCGTACTGAAATCGAAGAGCTTGAACGCATCGAGAAACTTACATCGATAGTTGCATGCTTCACAAAAATACAATTAAACCTCGTTAACAGCTTGTCTAAATTCTTTCCACAATTCTTCGTGTCATCGCCAAACGTGAAATAATTCTAAAAAATATCAACACTTCTTGTAAAGACCTAACTCGTTTGCCTATGTACAGAAAATCCAAATCGACGCTCCGCAAAAATCCATAGCCTTTGATTTTAGAAAAATAAGCCTTAGAAAGTCGTGCGACTTTATGGGCTTCGTGCGAAGGTAGTAGGTTTAAAATATTAAATAAAAGTTCGTTAGGTAATATACACAACGGATCCATTTCCCCAAATAACTGGGAAGTTCGAGGGGTGGGTTGGGGTGGTGACTGGCGATTGAAGTGCTTCGGTACTGCGCTGGGACCGACACGCGCGTTTTGCACTTCTTCGAATGTTTTTTGTGCGAAAAAGGGAATGGACCGGCTGATGGGAATGGCTGAGAATGGGGAGATATGTAAGTAACACGTGGACGGGGGCGTTAATTTCGTACAGGGCAAAAGATTTATGGCGTGCACTTGGAGACATCGCTGGAGGTGGATTGGGGCGGTTTCGGATCAAAAAATGCCCGTCATCCGGGGCAACAGAGTGGAAAGGGAAACGATTTTGGCGTCAGCCAGAGTGCATGGATGGATCTTGACTGTTTCGCTATGAAACGGTGTCTCAAATCGGTAATTTACGGTTTTGTTATATTGTAGGTTCCCAGTGCAAACAATGGATATTGACCCCTTCGAACAGCCAGCCCTAAGGATTCCTGGTCTGCTGTTTTGCCCCGGATCTTCCGATTTCGGTCCAAGCGCTCACGCGCCCCTTATCAGCCCCTGTATCTGTTGTGTCGGCTGCGTGCTTAATTTGTTGCAAGGATACGGGAGATGCTAGAAAAAGAGTAAAAGGTACTTTCCGGGCCTTGTGACTCCGTTTCTCGCGTGATTTCCTGATTATCTGAGATGTCAACGAATGAAACGAATTAATGACAGATTTTATAATAAACACATAGTAAATTGGAACCTATAATTTGATAGCTTTTTCATTCGATAAATTTTGGCCTATGATAGCGAAATTTAGATGAATTCTCTTAGGTTGGCAGCCGCACATCGAACTGCGTGCTGAACGGTGGTAAAGCCTTGAGCCATTTCTCGGTCGAGATCTTCTACTGTAGTCCCGTTCGTTTTCAGATGTCGTGTTAGCTATAATACTTTTCAACTGCTTCGTAAAGTTCGAAAGCCTCGTTTCAAACTTTCAAACTTACCGAATCTCTAACCTGCCCAAACGTCCTCGCGTAATATCGATTTTCCGGGTTGATCGAGTATAAAATATGGCGATTATCCGGGGTCTCGGGGTTGGCAATAGGGTTATAAAAGCAGCGTTCAACACTAAAAATATACTGCTAAATGTGTCAGAAAATGACTTACGTCATTAGGTGATCGTTCCAACGCGTCAATCCCTTTTTCGTGTCCGCGACCTGGGCATAGAACTTATCCGAAGCATAAATAAGCGATCGACAGGCCTTTTTCAGGAACTCAATTTGTTCATAGGTATCGGGAAGTGCCTACAGCTCGATAGTTTTACGTTAACTGCTTCTACACCTTCTCATTTCCGACTTTTCGGATTTCCTTTTCGATATCAGGTATCTGGGATTGCAGGAGAATCCAAGGGATTTGCGTGGCATTAATGGGCAGGATTCTGGAATCGGCGAATCGTAACGCTAGCTGGGCCCAAATTTCGGCTGTCGCTTTGTGCACCTGAAAAAGTTGTTGGGCTATGGTAAAAGATTGACCGCAAAATCATCATTATCCAGGAGATTCTCATTCACATAGGCGGTTTCATACATTGTATGGTATAGCGGGTAGCCGGTATAGGGGTTCTATAGCTTTCCGTTTACGATAGGCTGACTAACTCCACCTCGAACGTAAAATCGACCGTCGGGATCCCAAGGAAGTGCAAAAATGATTGATGATCAGTCCCACCGCCTGGGATCGCGATCTTTGGAATGTTTGGGTCGACGCGGCTTTTGGCATAGAAATTCCTAAGATCGCCATGACATTAAAAGCGGTAGAAGCTTACCAGCTATCAAAAACTGTCTTACGACCAAGTTTTCTTTCCTGCTCGTTCGGGTTTTCGACAGCTTTTGCGGTTTCAACGATAGCGTTGTAAAGTGATGGCACTGAGGCGACGTCTCTAAACAAAAAGAGCCCCTTCTTCGAGGGCAAAAACACTCACAGCGTCAAATTCCCGACGAGACAGTCCATATTCAAATACACGACAGTTCGGTCCTGTAGCTGTTGTCCGTACTCCTCCACAAATTCTGTCGAGCCGATAAGGCCATATTCTTCCGCATCCCAGTTCGCGAACATTATCGTTCTGGCTAAACAGGAATTTTACAACATCTGGATCGCAACCTGGTCTCCATCCAGTTTCTTTCACAGTCTTGGTTAGCGCGCGAATCAATTCGGCTAGAATTGCGGTTCCAGAATTTGGGTCCATCGAACCATATGCCTGAACTTGTTATAATTTGGTTTACACGCTAATTGATGTATTCATGCCCAAGCATCAAAATGATTTCCCAGGATGACATATCGATCAGGATCTTCCCGGCCTTTGATGTAGCCAATTACATTTTGGATTGTCCTAAAAACCTGTCAAGCGCTAGCTTGAATCTACCGAGTCTCAAAAATCGCGTCCACTTCGAAAGTAACCACGGTGTCATCTTTCATTTTCGAGCCAACTCGATAGGACACATCTAAACCTCCCTAAATCATTTAGCATTAGTTTTGTACCATGCAATGTTACCCTCCATCCCCTCGGAACCTTCGGACCACTCATTCTAGCCAAAATTTCGTACGCGGCGGCGTAAGGGATTGGTAACGCCGGGATACTCGGGACGTTCGCGGATTTTTTGAGCTGAAAGGAAAAGATCTAGGGTTTGTTGGTTTCAAGCAACTTGTTCAATGGTTTTCGACTTGTAGATGCCAGGCTTTGCCGGGTAGAGCGGGGTCAATGGGTCGCCATTCATATGATGCCCTATCATGCCGCGTTGCACATCATTTTCCGGCATCCAGATTTTATGGGGGTAGAGGTTTTCTAGTAATCTTGGTAAGTTGTCGATTTTTTTGAGGCAACCTGGTTTTGTGCCCTCCTTCGCCACATCGGCCGGATCGGAGTAGAGAAGCACTCCGATAGCGCCATATTTTTGAGCGTTATAGACCTTATCTCCACGGTAGAGTTGTCCATAACGGATTAGGGCGATTTTTCCCTAAAATCACCTTATAGCACCAAGGTGAAAATCAGTACAAACCTTCACAGAATACCCGAGCTCCTCCAACTTCTCAAAATCGGCTATGAAACCTCGATTACAGAACACAACTTGGCCAGAAGCATTTCCGACCGCAGACCATGCCAGAAATTGGTAGCCGCCGACTAAAAACCCGCGATTTCCAGAAACGGATGCTTCAAAGGTCTTTGTTCGGTTTAAAAACCATACACTTGTCATCCTGTTCCTTTTCAATCAAAGCCGGCGCAATGCCGCTTGTTTGGTAAACGGTTTTCCTCCCGGATTTGATATAAAGCTAAAATCCTTCAGTCACTTTAGCACTGAGTTTACCTTATTAGGTTTCTCCCATTTCGGGTAGGTCAGCAGAACTTCATATTCAACTTGGCGAACATCTAAAAAATATAGAGTCAAGGGGGTATCAAGAGCGACCTTCAACACCAAACTTCTTCCACAGATCCTCAACTGTATTTGCCAGCTCTTTTTGGTTCTTGGTCCCGGCCATGTGGGGCGTTTTGGTGAACAAGCGCAGATATTTCTAAAAGGAAAAGCTACGTAATATGAAAGATTCACTTTGATATTATCCTCATCGATTTCATCTTGCACATCTTCTAAAAACATTTTTTAGTTTTTTCAAATGAGGGATACCAAATGGAATGAGATGCTCTTCTTCAGGAACTGGTCGCGGCGCAAAATGAGGGCACGAGTCTCGCGCAAGAGAATTGAATAGAAGGACAATCACAAATAACATGAACGCAAAGCCACCGGCCGTCCAGAACAGCATTTTTCCGCCGACTCGATCCCGATACGGGGCTAAAATTGTCTTTATAAGAGTTTGGCCTCACCCTAGCATTTAAAAAACTAACTTTTTTGAGGCACGTCCATCTTGAGCGATGTTGAAGCTCGTGAAACCGTACTGCGGCCAAAAATGACCACACCTTTGTCGCTGGGTAGGACAATCGGCTTTGCATAATTTTGTTCTACCCCAAGAGCCGTGCTATGAAGAGTGAGCATGTTAAATTTGCGAGGTTTCTCGATGAGCAGAAGGTGTTAAAAAAGGTAAAATACACATTTATTGGCACAGAAAAGGCTTTTTAGAACATAAATTAGTATCTCTTCTCCACGCATCGAATGGCTTCGTCCACCAACCCGCGGAATTTAACTCGAAAGGTTTCAAGTCGTTGGGCCGCATCCTCTCCTGTAAAAACCATACCAAAACACCTTTCGAAATTACCTGTGCCCATTATTTGTTCATCAGAAACCAGTTGGATAAACGGCGGGAACCAAACGAGGAAGACCAGTGGGAAGATGCGCTCATACTCAGCAATAAACTGCAAAACAACTTAATAAGATTTCTTATATGGGATCAAGAAGGTTGTCCTATCCACAGCGGGATCTATGGGCAAAAAGCAAAAGAATTGCTCCCGGTGAGGCTCGAACTCACGACCTTCAGATTATGAGACTGACGCGCTGCCTACTGCGCTACGGAAGCACTGGGGAGAGGGCGGTCGGCGGGGTATGTGAGAAATTGGGGACCAGGGAGCGCCGAGGAGGGGCCACCCTCTCCAATGCCCAGAGTGGCTCGCCACGGCTTTGACGAGACAACAGGCCAAAAGAAAAGGTTTTAGCCCCAAGAAAGTAAATAATAAATAAATAAATAATAAATAATAATTAAAGATGTTAAATTTCGTACAAGTCAATTCAAAAGGGCGTCACCAGGAATTGCCGGTATATTCATAGCAAGTTTCTACACCTCTGACTATTTTGAAAGTATCGTAATTGAAATGTTGCATAACCTGAAAAAGCGAGATACTAATAATTAGTAGCATTGCTAGGAAACAATGATTAAGTGTCCTCAAATTGAGCTAAGCCATTAGCGGTGCCTGTGTTGCGTCTTAAAGGGCTAGTTCAACTTTTAGAGCTTGGGCTGGTACCTTGGGAAACTATGGACGTAGGCACAGTGCGCCCGAACCGTCCCCCATTACGACAGCTATTAGAGATCGGGGAAATGAGAGAGGCGCAGGCACAAAAACGCAGAGAGGGTTCGACTCCTGGCCGCGGAAATTCTTTTGTTTTATTGGCTGAACTAGCCCTTTAACAATACCTCTGCAAGGCTTTTCCAAGGCAACAGTTGCTTGCCCTGCACCTGCCGAACCACACCATTATAAAAAGCTTCCAAATAGAAATCACGCCTAAATAAAGCGTTTTTTTTTGTTTAGAACCCCCACCTGGTAGCATATTCCTTTCCACCCAGTCCCTTGGATAAAAAGCGGACCAAATCTTCGCAAGGGTTGCCGATGTGGGCAATCTAAAAGGTAATACGTTTCAACAGAAATGCACAGCGTTTTCCACCTGCCAATCCACCACCAATTTCACCAAGTAGTCGCCATTTTCCTCTTTTCTCCACAAGATATTGCCAGGCCAAAGATCGCCGTGGACGAGCATTGGTAATTTGGCTAAAAATTGCTATGACGAATTTGGCCGTGCATAGTAACGTACTGTTTTGCAACATCGTTTCCACTAATGTTTCGATCGTCGCAAAATATTTGGATACTTTCTTAAGCTCTTGAAGCTGTTCGGCTTTATCCGGGAACCGTTTCCCCATGTTGTCAATTCCCCGTTCGACTTTCTACATACAAGGAGACGTTTTTGAGTGTCGTCGGGACTTTGGCACGGTACCAAGCCTATCGTGTGCAGAATTTTACGCTGATTCCGAATATGGTAACGGTTTTTGCGGAATAGCCATTTCTCAAAAGTTATGAACGATTTAAACCTCAAAACAGCCCAAAATCGGCTACTTTCAATAGTCATATAAGGCTTCAAAAAAGGTTTTAGACAAAACCAGATAGTAGATCTTGTTCAGAAAAAAATTCTCTATAAAATGTACCATCTTTTCCAAAATCATTGAAAGTTGGAAAAATTTGATAAATTGGGAGGTCCATAATTTTACAAAAATTTTCAAAATTCCAGCATTTTTGAGTTAAGTAGCTTATTTTATAGAGAATCTTTTCTGAACAAGATGTACTATCTGGTTTTGTCTAAAATCTATTTTGAAGCCTTTTCTGATTATTGAAAGTAGCCGATTTTGGGCTGTTTTGAGGTTTAAATCGTTCATAACTTTCGAGAAAGGGTTACCATATTCGGAATCAGCATAAAATTCTGCACAAGATAGGCTTGGTCCCGTGCCAAAGTTCCGACGACACTCAAAAACGTCTCCTGGTTAGAGAGGCTTTCCGAAACTAACCCATGAAGTAGAAAAATCGCCAAAATGTGTTTCAAAGGTACGATTTTCAGCTAATTTTTGAGCATTTTCAGGGTATTCAAGGGCTGAAATGAATAAATGGGTATTTTTTAGCAAAAAACCCTACAATAGGCTGCCATGTTTGACATAACTTCAAGACCAGCCAAAGCCGAGACCTCTTCCAGATCTTGGTATATGTGGATGTTGTGGAAATCGTTAACTTTTTCGACGATTAAATAACCTGAGAAGGAAAAGTGTTTGCTCGCTATGGCAGACCTGCAGGTAGCCCATCGATCCCATACTGTCTGCCGCAAACAAATCGCGGCAGTGGAATATCTGGCTTTTCATCGAGCTCCGACATTTCTTTGTAAAATTGTAACTCGGTGTCGTTTAGCTAAAAGGCGGGCTTTGCAAAATTGTATAACAGTTCCTACCGTCCTGGCCTGATCCGCGGCATTATCATAGGCGCCATTCGCCATATCGGAGAGCTTCTGAATTTTGTCCCGAAAAACGATCTTCATCACTCCTTCCTGAGGTAGTCGATCCTGCTCTTCAGTCCAATCAAAGGTAACTAGGGCGCATTTTGAAACGTAGCCCTTAACAAGGCGGATACATGGCAAAATTTTCGCTCACGTTTTGGTCTCCAAGGTGGACGGCCGAGCGTTTGGGTCCCGTTTTAGCGGTAGTCTTGTATTGGCGTTTGGCATCCTGTTCTACCATATCCCATGTGATCAGGGTTTCGACAATAGCGTCGGGGTCAGAGTGGGCTACCATTTTCTGGAGATCAAGACTATACTAGGCCGCCACTACCATAAGCAAGGCCGGAAATATTAGGTTGGAACTAAAGTTCGCGCAATATTTTTCTTTCTTTGTAATTTTCGGGACCGAAAAACGGGCAAGAACCAAAATGTTTTTTGGATGACCGGATATGCAATAAAATTCTCTATTCGATGTGTGGGAAGAAATCGCGTTGCTTCCCTATTAGAATGTTTTAAAGCTAGATTTAAGCGAAAATGAAAAATCGTTTCGGCCCGCCTTTACAAAACAAAATTGGCTTCCTTTTTGGGCTAATTCGGCATGCAGCCAGTAGATACGACTTATTCTCATATTGATGATCAATTTCTATGGTGACTTTATGGCGGTTCGGAAAGATGTCCGGGTCAAAAATTTGAAGTGCCCTCGAGAGAAACGCAAAAAATCTTAAAAACTACTGGGGCTAAAAACCTGTAATTTTGATCCCACATACTCATGAACCCAATAGATATATGCAAAGAGGGAATATCGGAATCTGGCCACTAAATTTTCAGAAAGAAATTTCCAATGTTTGATTGCGCGAACTTATGTTCCAACCTAATATCATTACACAAATTTGAGAAGAGCTGAATTTCGCGAATGAAACTTTATTTAACAAACATAAGAACAATAAAGCAAAATCGCGATCGCATCCCAAATCCAAAACAACAGTCCGGTGCGGGGGCGCGCCCTCGACCTCCGCGCGGGCCGAAAGTGAGATTTTTGAAGATCTACCGGATACGGTTCCATCGCACCGATCGAGCAGTGCCCCACCCTATATTTTGTGTTGGTTCTGCCATGTCGGGTAGCCGGGATCACTCCCGATTTCCCATGATTGAAATCGCGGCACAGGAAATTGGCGAAGGAACTAACATACGTGGGTTGATGGATGGGCGTACTTTAATTTGTTCCGGCAGAAAGTTAGAAGACTGGAAAAATAACTAGAAAGAAAAGACTAGAAAACCGCCGATATGAACAACAGATAGACAGAAAGGATAGCGGCAATGAGTAGGTAAAGTGTAAAAAATTTAATAAATAGTGTTGGCATACCATTAAATAGTTGGGGAGGGAAAAGTCTATATGCGACAACACCTTTCAAAGTTGCTGGATTTATTTTGAAGTTTGCCTTTGACTCGTGAAGGAGGAAGAAAACGATCGTGTGTATGGAAAATACTTGGCTTATTGTTGTCATATTCAGCAAAGACCTAGCATCTGGCAGGAAGTAGAATTGCGAGAGCAGAATGTAAAAAAAACTCGTCAGCTTCAAAACCACGAACATGTAGGTTGGGACAACGAAAAATTAAACGATATTTGGTTAATCTTAATTTTTTCGTTCGGGTACCGTCTAATCTCGCGACTCCACGCATCCCACCGCTGCAATGACTATCCCATAAAATTTTGTCCGGAATTTCTCAAGATGGTGCAGGCCGTCATCCTCTAAACACGACTTGAGAAAGGAAACAGAGCTTGCCTTCCCCCATCAGGCCCGTAAAAGGGGCGAGGGGGGCGAGCCGCCCCCCCGCCCCCGAAATCGGCCGAAGGCCGAAAAGTTCATAAGGGGGGACCCTTATGATTTAATTTTTTCCAAAAAATTTTTGCCTGCGGCGCTGTTTTTGTCTATTTTTAACACTAGTTTTAGTGTTATAAACCCTATGTTTACAAAAATTTTGCCTGCGGCGCTGTAGTTTTAGTCATATTCGTGAAAAATTTTTGGGGTCGCCCCCGAAATTTGGGTTTGTTACGGCCCTGTCCCCCATACATAACTTGTTTATTAGCGACAAGTTGGATAAAAGGTGAGATCCAAATCGGCCTTCATGCATGCAAAAAGTGATAAGCCGAACGCGGAAGTAACATAGCTGGAGGCAGACTTTTTAGTGGAGTTGAGGGCCTGGAAAGTCTGAAAACAGTGGCGTTTTAGAGGCCTTCTCTGACCGGTAGTTTACCGTCGGAGCTCTAAACTGTTTTCAAAGCCATCGATAGCCCCTAAAGGGCTGCCGACGGCATGTGTCGATCCTCCCAGCAACAAATTGGCAAGTAGCCAACAGGGAAGAGAGGGCGTCCTGGGGAGAGGCGCAGAGACATTTTCTTTCCAGCGCGTAACCGATTGACTATGCCGTCCGCATCCCTTTAAAACCCATAATTGCGATCGAAAATATTTTGTTCATTGGTATATTTCAGAAAAAGACCAAAGGCTCATGTTTGGCGACAAATTGGAACTCCAATAACGGCAAATCCCTCTGGGGCTGCTAATCACACCTGCGCCCAGAGTATTCACGCCCATTTTAGAGTTAATTAGACCATTTCCGAAAGTCATGCAACTCGACTCGGGCTGACAACAGATTCACCAAAGGCCTCGCGTTGCTTCCACAGCAATGTATGACCCGTTTAATATATTCCTATTGATTTGCGAGATAATCTACTGCGTTGTTGCACTATTTGTAATAGCTATGATGTTGAAGAGCAAAGACAAGCTATTTCGGACGGCATTTTTCAAGATATTTATCGCTGGCGGTAAGTAGTTATTTTCGTTTTTAATGAAAGTCGTTTGGGAAATTACTTGTTCTATGAAAAGTATAAGAAAGCAAAGCCTCAAAAAAGGCATCTGTGTTTTTGTAGTCACTGCTGATGTCATTTCCATCATCGCGAATGCGGTTCTGCGACATTTACATCTCATCCATTTTGGCCCAGACGAGGTAGACAAGCTAAAGATTGAAAAAAACCTGTTTAGATGCCTTACCGATTATGCAATCTATTCTCAGCAATCACCTACTACTGCTTTTATTTTAGTCTATTAATAGCAACAATTAATCGTTTGACGGCTTTAGTATCGGACCCTGCGTTTCATAAGAAGGTAAGTTAACGCGATACCGCATCTTCGAAAAATCAGTTTCTAGTTGTGGAACAAAATCGGTGCGTTTGCCGCCGGCACACCCTGGCTGCTGGCGTTTGCATGTATGGCTTATCGTATACCGATCCCAATCCTTGTCGTGCCGTTAGAAGAAGGAGGATATCAAGCCCGTGGGAATATACTTCCTTATTCCACTGTAAATTATTTTCTTGGTTTTTACGACTTTCATTAATTCAAAAAGAACCGTGCGAAATTTCAGATAGCTCATTTTGTTGGGATGACCGTGGTTATTGTCGTGTCAACGGCTTGTGCGGTCATGAATACGATCCTTATAATCCGTATCATCAAGAAAGCTCCCGGAAAAGGCTCCGAAAAGAAGCTCGTTATGCAAACCGTTGTCACCTTTGTGTTCAGCTTTCTCATGTCGGCGGAACAGGTTGGTTTTTGCACGTAACGAGAGAAATCATCTTATGAAAATAGATCTCGCCTTGACTCACCAGATTTTGTTCCATTCAGCCATTCCTGTACTTCTTTTGTTTTCATAAAATTGAATTTTAGATGGATTCTGAGTATGAACTTCCCCCCTTGGGGGAATATTAGATTTTGTTGCGTATTCCCAGTACTGGGGTTTTTTGTACGTCTTAATGGTAATTGGCGTGGCGAAAATAGAAATTGGATAACCAAGGATATTGGATAACCAAGATAATTTGAGCTTAAGCGTAGGTTTAGGCTTCGGCTTAGGTTTAGGTTTAGGCTTAGGGCTTACAAGGGAAGGGCACGTGGACAAAGTGGAATTTCGCCAAACCCTCGCGGCTACCCCCCGGGTAATCGACTATGGAGAACACGATGCCGTTTTCCGATTTTCCTGCGGAGGCTTGTTGACAGAGATACAGCACTTCCGGAAAATGACGATGTGCATGCGAAAAATTAGGATCCGGGGGAAGTTTTATTAGGCTCGCCCATCAGTATGGAATCACCGGTCGAATGGTCGATTGGTAAGCAACTCGCTTGATAGGATACTGAGGAGGGTACGGATCCTCTCACGATTTTTCCGTTTTGCTTTTTGACAGGAACTTTTTGCACAAATCCAGAATTTCCTTGACTTCAACAAAATTTTTTAGAGTGATGCATATCATAGATTTTGCTATCCCACCAAAACATTGAAAATTAAAAAATATTCGCGAGAATGGGCAGCCATCCTCCCATCAGGCGAAAGTTTCATAAAGTTTGTGGAAGTATTTTAGATTTGGTTACTCTGCAATAACATACGTATTAATTAAAAATCTAGAGTTATCGCGGCAAAATAGCAATGAAACCTTGTTCGAAAACCCCTGGTCAAAAAGCAAAACGGAAAAAATCGTGAGAGGATCCGTACCCTCCTCAGTATCCTATCAAGCGAGTTGCTTACCAATCGACCATTCAACCGGTGATTCCATACTGATGGGCGAGCCTAATAAAACTTCCCCTGATTCTAATCTTTCGCATGCAAATCGTCACTTTCCGGAAGTGCTGTATCTCTGTCCACAAGCCTCCGCAGGAAAATCCGAAAACGGCATCGTGTTCTCCATAGTCGATTACCCGGGAGTAGCCGGGAGGGTTTTGCGAAATTCCACTTCGTTAGCGCCTAGGCTTAAGGCTTAGAATAAAATAATATTCATATCCTTTCATTAAGGCCATCCGCTCCTACTCCTACCACATTGGGGACAACGCTCTGGCCTCCTGGGCCAGTTGGCAATACTGGTGGGTGAATGACGTCGTCCTATTTTCGCATCTATTTTCCCTAATTGCCCTGAGCAAATCTGTTCGCAAATTCTTTCGACTCCGCGTTTCGATCCGCGTCCATATGTTGGGATCAATTTCGGCCGGCGGCACTGCTTCGGATTCGCGCACTGGTAGCCGTAGCCAGACTCGATCCAGTTCTCATCGCTAGTTGTTGCTGATACACAGTTGATATTCGCGTTCCACATAATGCCACCAGAAGATTGAGACGTACTTCAATGCGAATTGATTGTTTATCATCCTGAAACCGTTAATCCGAGCCTAATAAAGGTTTAAATAAAATTTCCATAATTTCACAAAAACTAATAGCTTTGAATAAATTTTTTTGTTTTGAGCACAAAATTGACAACAGCTGCAACTGCGAAAGGAATCAAAAAACTAACCTTTTCATTTGATAATGACACTTGTAAAGGGTAAACCAACCCGCTAATTGTAGCGTTCTATATAGTGTGGCGCAAAAGAGACAACCAAATGGTGAAAAATCCACTTGATCACAATGTTTTGGAAATATGACCTTAGGAGGCATTTTTAGAGATGCCAATTTTTCAAAATCACCTCTAGTGTACCCGGCAATTGCGAATCTCTGAGAAAGTAGAAAGAACTGAGGCTGAAAGGCCGTTCATAATTCCGCCTCGAGATGTATGATCCATTGAATAATCTACTATAATAATTTTGCTGTGTTGTCCGTCCGTGTGTGTGAAGCCGAATTCAACTCGAAGGGGAAAGGAGCTAGAGCTTAGGTCTCTTCGGATTCGGATAGAGCGCCGTCAGAAACCCTCAAACTGATTAAAAAATTATGAAAAAGTTTTATTTTAAATTATTAAAATTAACTTTGAAAGTTTTTTCCTTAGTAAAAGGGGCCGGGGAAGGAGGTTGGGGTGATTTTGGACATAGTGAGCCAGGTCGCGCGCGTTTCGTGGATGAAAATTTTCACGGGGGATTTCATTTCTTTTTTTCTCTCATTCCATCCGGTCGGTCGTTATTTTTGTTTTTTAAGGATTTCGGCTAGGGGAAGTATCTTAAATCATCGGGGAAGTATTTAGGTAGTTTTTGAAGGGGATTTCAGCCATGGGGGGTATCTAAAGCCATCGGGAAGGTACTTAGGTAGTTTTTGAACGGGATTTCGGCTATGGGGGGTATTGATGGAGGTGGGAAAGGATGTGGTGGAGCGGGACATGTAGGGTAGCCCGAAGGCCAGATGGTTGCAGTCGCGAAGCGACTGTAACCATCTGGTTGAATATATTTCTACTGGTCTGCGAGATTTTGTATGAAATTATTGCGTTGTTTGTTATTGCTATGATGTTGAGAAGCAAAGACAAGCTCTTTCGGGCGGCGTTTTTCAAAATATTCATTTCCGGAGGTAAGACGAGTTTAAAAGGCCGTTTGTGAGGGATCCGACCAAGCCCCATTATAGCTTGGCACAGTTTTTTTCGACCCTGTTTTTTTGACGCCATCTGAAAGAGCATGGTTGAATTAGTCGGGTGGCATATTTTTGAAAGTTTAAAAAGTTTAATTTTGGGGTTAAAATGGGTCTCAAACTTGCCGACACCGAAAAAATATCTCGAGAACTACTTGACAGAATCTTCTGAAAATTTGTGTGAATACCTAATTTGGGATGGGGATCATTTCTCTAATACATCGCGAGGCTCGAAAATGCCCGGAACATAGGTGTCTTGCGTACATAAAACAGTTTTTCCGTTCTGTCCGGAACTGGGCGATCGGGCGGCTCTGTTGATTACTGTAGAAAGATGCGCAAGAAAATTCTGCATCGAATGGTGTATCAAACTAGAGCCGCCCGATCGCCCAGGTCGCGCTATAAAGCATTTACTAGGCAAAAATTGGCCGAAGAGAGGCTCCGAAAACTTATAAAATTCAAAATACGGTGTTTTGAGGAACCATATTGCATCTAGAGACCAAGCGGAAGCCTTTGCAAAAAAGAGCAAAAAGAAATTTCGTTTCTTTCGATGTCGCGGAATCGAACCCGGACCCTCCGTCTGGGAGCCCTGTGGCGCAGTGAGTACGCATTGAGACTCTGGATTAGCACGCCGGTTCCTCACAATATGGTTCCTCAAAACACCGTATTTTGAATTTTATAAGTTTTCGGAGCCTCTCTTCGGCCAATTTTTGCCTAGTAAATGCTTTATAGCGCGACCTGGGCGATCGGGCGGCTCTAGTTTGATACACCATTCGATGCAGAATTTTCTTGCGCATCTTTCTACAGTAATCAACAGAGCCGCCCGCTCGCCCAGTTCCGGACAGAACGGAAAAACTGTTTTATGTACGCAAGACACCTATGTTCCGGGCATTTTCGAGCCTCGCGATGTATTAGAGAAATGATCCCCATCCCAAATTAGGTATTCACACAAATTTTCAGAAGATTCTGTCAAGTAGTTCTCGAGATATTTTTTCGGTGTCGGCAAGTTTGAGACCCATTTTAACCCCAAAATTAAACTTTTTAAACTTTCAAAAATATGCCACCCGACTAATTCAACCATGCTCTTTCAGATGGCGTCAAAAAAACAGGGTCGAAAAAAACTGTGCCAAGCCTTGTTCGCGTCTGTCGCAAACGGCCTTTTAAAGAGCAAAAAAATGAAACATTCGCAAGATCGTAGTGACCGCTGATATCGTCTCGATTATAGCAAACGCCGTTGTACACATTTACACTTGAATCATTTTGGTCCCGATGAGGTAAACCATATTAAAAACTTTACAACTCTAGACGCATTTTTAGATGCCTTACCGTCTATGCAACCTATTCTCGGCTATCACCTATTATTTCTTCTATTTTAGTCTGCTCATCGCGACAATGAATCGTTTTACAGCCCTCATTGCGGATGTTGGTTTCCATGAAAGGGTCAGCGATTAGCTACTTAAATTAGGATACCTTTAGCTTTGGCAAGAAATAGGAAACTATGTGGCCATCATGCCATGGATCTTGGGATTCGCATGTATGGCTTACCGTATTCCAATTCCAATACTTGTCGTGCCGCTTGGTGATGGAACCTATGAGGCCAGAGGGAATGTTCCTCCATTTTCCGCGGTAATTCCTTCAAGCTATTACTGTACATTCAGATAATCTATTTCGTGTCTATGATAGTAACTATTGCGGCGCCGTTTGCCTGCGCCGTGATGAATACAGTTTCTATAATCCGTATCATCAAGAAAGCTCCTGGAAAAGGCTCCGAAAAGAAACTCGTCCTACAAACCATTGTCACCTTCTGTTTTAGCTTTATAATGTCGGGTGAACAGGTGGCTCGTGCGTCTCAAGAGCCAACGATAACTTTTCCCGGGTCTCCGCGCATACGCTTACTACGTCGGAGATTCGGCTCTTGCCTCGTGGGCCAGTTGGCACTACTGGTGGACAAATGACATCGTCCTATTCTCACATCTATTATCGTTAATCGCCCTCAGCAGTTCAGTTCAAAAATTCTTCCGCCTCCGCGTTTCCCTGAACGTGCACGTCGGGGAGTCCGTGCAACCTAGCGGCTCTGCATCACATTCGCAAAGGGCAACGCACACACGATCAATCTCCCATCAATAAATCTGTACCAGGGTTACATAGGGCACGTCAATTTTATGAAATTCTACGCAGCCGTCGCAAATTTGATGGAAGACATACAATCACCCAGACTCTTTTGACAAACCCACCAACGGGTACGCCCACCCCCGGTCAGTTGGCAGCATATAAAAGCGCAACGGTGCTTCTTGGTCCACTGGCTTTCGCACGCAATTAAGCGGTGGTTCTTAAAGGGGCTCCGAACTGCCAAATCAAAGCCCTTTTTGGAGGCCTCTTTGATTTCTGGCAAATTGCCAGCGGGCGCTTCGGGACGAGAGCCCTCACTCTTTCGATTTTTGCGCGAAGTTGTTTTTGCCCGGTTTCTTTGGGAAAACACTATAATTCGCGCATTCTGAGCCCATTTTTGAAATCCTCACTCAATTTTAAATAGTTTTGGTTTTTTAATCATCAAATTTGGCCCAGAAACAGCCGAGAACGTGATTTCGAGGTGACAACAGGCCATTTCAAATTTGCGAGCTTCCCGCGCCCCTAGGTGTACAGAGGCCTCCCACGTACAGGGCTCCCATTTTCGGGCCGTCACTCAATTTTTGGCACTTCGTAGCCCCTTTAAGCAATTTTGGTTTGAAATCGAGTCCGCAAGTACAGTACTCTTGTAGGAACGTCGAAAATCTACTACAATGTCCGATCTAAATTCGATCGTGGACACGGAAATCACGTGGGATATGGTGGAACATGATATACAGCTTCAGTACAAGACGTCCGCCAAGACCGGCCCGAAGCGTTCAGCTGTACACCTCGGAGATCACAACGTAAGTTCTAATCGTGATACAGCGTACCTTAATATCCGAATTTGCAGGGATACATCTCAAAGTGCGCACTAATCACATTTGACTGGACGAATGACCAAGAAAAGCTTCCCCGTCAGGGCATTGTGAAGATCGTTTTCAAAGATAAAATACAACAGCTATGCGATATCAATGGCGCCTACGATGACGCGGCGCTGCAAGCGAGAATTGTAGGCCTTTGAAAATGGCCTTGTTGAAATAATTAATGGTTCAAATTTGATAGAAATAACTGATTCATTGAAGCTGAACGACACCGAACTACAAGTCTTTCAAGCCATGACTGATCTGGGCAAAACGCCCGAAATTCCGCTTCCACGCTTTGTCTCTGGACGACCTTATGGGGTGGATGGCCTTTCAGCAGGTTGGTATGACAGAAATTTCGATATCTGATATCTCTAGGGTATCTAATCGTCGAGAAAATTGATGATTTTCACAATGTACACATCTACGAAGACTTGGAGGAAAGCTCCGCTCTAGCTGGCGTGAAAGTTTTGGCAGAGATGACGGTTTTTTGTAAGTTACTGGCCTATGTATCTAAATGTGAGCTTTTGCAGCCCTGAACAATCCGGAAGCCGTGCGAAAATTGGCCGAGAACCAGACGTTCGAGATTAATTTTGGGGATTTTGCTTCGAGAGCGGTAATTGGAAGCTATTTGTCATTGGCGTTTCAGAAAATCGAGCGCGGCATCGGTGCGATGGCTGAAAAATATAAAAACAAATATGAAGAGATCCAATCTTTGAAAGCTGTAACTCATTGTTTTGATACGATCGAGAAGCTGGGGGAGACGATGACCAAAAATAGTGAATCTAGAATTACCTAAAGTTATCAATTGAAGTTTAGTTCGGGCTCCCCTCCTTGTTCATGGTGATATGTGGCCTGGAAATATTCTATGGTCCAAAGGAGCAGATGGAAATTTGGACGTGAAGCTGGTGGTCGATTGGCAGGTGAGTACTGTAATGGGCCGCTCGATGGGAAGCACATTTAGCTTGCCCATATCGGAAATCCTTGTGAGGATTTGGTGCGATTTCTAGCGAAAGGGTTGAGTGGAAAAGAATATGCGGCTCGGTTAGTTCTACACAACGTTTTTTGGTAAACGATTTTAGGCGGGATTTCTATTTGAAAGCGTTTTATGATCAAGTGGCTGCAGGAGTAAATAAAGCAGTGTTGCCTTGGAAAGATCTAAATGAGGTGGATTTTGGCTTAATTTCCAACAAGGCAAAGGCTAGATCGTTGCTACGTTTAGCTCTTTCAGTTCATCGCCGAGTACGAACGTATCTTCCCTATCATATTCTTGATTTGGCTCCCGCCCTTCATTTTGTTAGTTACTGACGAGCAGATCAGAGGAAAGGGTAAGTCTGTTCGTTCCTTTTTGTAGTACTCATCTAATATTCGATTTTCAGGACCCGACGCGGAGCAGCGGCTGCTAAATTTCCGGGCGAAATTCCGGGGTATGGTCGACGAAGCGGTGCGATGCATGAAAAGGAGATACTGAGACTTTTGTAATGTAAAATGTAATTTTGTAAACTTTACGTTTTGAAAAACACGTTTACAAACCGAAAACCAAGGTAGGAAGATAAGCATCATGGTTCTAAAAACTTGATCTTAAAACCAACAAAACTAACAAGAGAAGGCACGATAGAATTCGGGGAATGCATATTCTTTTCTGAAGTTCTCGCAACGAAATTTTTTTGGTTTGCCTTAAAGAAAAGAGCATTTTTTAAGCCGTATGGCACGTCGGCACGGTGCAAAACAAAATGATGGTTATTCGGGATACAATTCTTAGAACATAACAACGGTGGTCTCGGATTTCGGGGTTCTACTCAACAGTTTCACACAATTTCGAACCATACGCTTTTAGACCTTCTGTTCTCTCGATGATGGATGTACTCGTCTCACCAGGAATTTTTCGGTTCCAGACCAAATATCCGAACGGAAAAATCCGAAAAGATTTTGGGAAAACGAAAAAAAAATTCAGATCCGATCGATGGTTTGGTTCAAACAGCGGAAGCGAGCATTTTTCTAGGGGCGACCTGTCTGTTCCGTTGACTGGGATCGTCGGTTTTGGGATACGGAGATCGCCGGCCACTTTGTGGTTTGAAACCACAAAACCACAAACATTTTTTGATACATTTTGGATATCGCGACACTGGGGCTGGGAACGATAAATCTTCCTAAAAAGCAATAGGATATGGTGATGTCACGCGGTTGAATGGGGTTTACGATTTACGATGTCTAACCGAGTTGCGAATGATGGTTCAGTGGATAGGCGAAGGGGGGAAAATTGGCTCAATGATTTTTGAGACCCTAGAATATCTTTCGGAGTCCCTTTCTGTTAAATCGGGTTTTCTATATTCTTGTCTAGCCCCACTGATACAGCCAATCAGAAATTAAGCAAAAATCTCTTATAATAATAATAATAATAATTGATTTCTGACACCAAGGTTCAACACATGAACAAACTTACAGGTGTAGGAATGTCGATAATGAAGGATAAATGAATGGGGGGGGTGGGTGAGGGGAGAGAGAAAAGAGGGTGACTAGAAGATTAAGATAATACAGAATTGGATGGAATATAATTTAAGAGGCTGCGTTTAAATGTCTTATGATTGCGACCAGTAATTGTATGACTAGGTAGCGAGTTCCATAGGGTAGATACACGGTTACTAAAAAAGGATTTGTGAATGGAAGTTTTTCCTTTGAGCAGGGGCCTAAGTTTATGGGACATGCCGCGGGTTCTAGAGGGGATGGAGCTAAAGAAGGATGCAATAGAAATATTTGAAGGATGACGATGAATTTGAAGGATGACGATGAATTTGAAGGATGACGATTTTCAATTTAGCTGTTTAGTCATTAAAGGTACCATGTTTTTGTGGAGATCATATTCTTGGGACGCGTTGTTCCATTAGGCTCGACTTAAATTTGGATAAATTATTTATTTTTTGGCCACCTATCAAAATACATCAACGCAAAAATGCTGGAAAACAAGGCTTTAGTTGGACTCCCCATAAAAGGTGTTTCTTTCCATCTGTTGCCGTTCAATAGCCTCGAAGATTGCGAAAAAGTTACCGGCTCCGAAGCCCTGAAAGAAAAGTATTATTTTAGCTTGTTTCAATTTTTTTATACCTTGAAATTGTGTCTCTCGATGACTTCGAAGAAGAGTGTAGGACGATCATCGAGTGGCTTGGTGAATTTTTGGAGGATATATCCCTTCTCGTCAAAATCGATGAAGATGTTCAATTCTTGTAGTTTATCGAGATCGGCATCAATCTGAAGATTGCGCTGGGATTTTCAGAGTGTTCGCAAGCTTACCGGACAATTGCTTTTGCTCAGCTTTTCCCTGATGACGTCATAGTACTTATCGGGGACGTCGAGCAGCTCGACACCACTGAAGTTAGACGTTTAGACTTCAACGGTACAGTACCGCGCTTTCAAAGCTTCAACAGTCGATACCAAATCATCGGTGTTCAAGGCAATGTGCTGGACCCCAGGGCCGCCATTAAAATTGACAAATTCCTTAAAAGATACCTCAAAGTAATCCTGAAAATTAACCTGAATCTGATTTGTTCCCTTTCCCTGCGCATCGTTTCCCCGTGCAATCACTGCCTGGATCTTCGAGTTGTCATTGGCTTGGAATTTTGCCGTCAGGGCGGACTTATCAGAATTTACAATCTCGGGTCCATCAGTCCAATACCTAAAGGTTCATTTTTAATTGACTAAAGTAGTTATACCTATGGAAAAGAAGGTTTTCCTCATACCAATCGACCACAGATTCCATCTCATCCTCAGGTTGGGCGCCGACAAAGTGATCGATGGTTTTGAGATCAGTCTAGAAGTCGGCTTAGGCAATTCTTGACAATTTCTATACCTTTGGGAGGTGGTCAAAGCACTGTCCGTCCCAATGATGCGCTCTGAATCCGGGCAAGAAGAGGCCGCGGTAGTTTTTGCGTTCGATTAGTGTGTGAATGACGTCACCAAACTAAAGACTGTCTTCCATACGGTACTTTACGTCAGTAGTTCCCTTTAAGGACGCTAAAAACGCACCGCGAGGATCGACGCATACTTCACCACCCCGTATTCATCAGATTCCACCGTCATCTCACGAACAATCTTCGTTTTCTTGGCCCGTGCATGCTCCAGAAATACCTCGAGGTCGTCGACCTAATAATTTCCGTTAATCATTTTCAAAATGCTAACCTGAAAGGCAACATCTTGAACGGAATCACCATGCTTGGTCAGGTAGTCTCCAAAGTTCTTATTGTCAGGACCGGTTGTGCCTTCGAAGACAAGGATGATCTGGAGGGTCAAACAGTACCTTACTTTCCATTTCAAAACAATACCTTTCCAGTCTTGATAGCGTGGGCTGTCAGCTCTTTGCATCCAGTTTCCAGGCCCTTGTATGCGAATGGCTGGAAGCCAAAGCTGGCGCAGAACCAAAACGCCGCCTGAAAATCAGTGATAGGCTTATTTAGAATCCTATTTATCACCTTTAGAAATCCCTGATTTTAAGGTAGCATACCTGCTTAGCATTTCCAACTCTGAATCGAATATGATCAAAATCCTCCGGAGATTTTGCCGCCTGAATCGAAAAGCTTAACATGAATTCCGTAGCCTACCATATCCCGGCCAGTCAAGTCCTCGATTTGCGGAGCCATCGCTTGTTGTGTTTTTGGTGTATATGCCCGTAACCCTAGGCCTTCCCTTATATGTTGCCACTTTCGTCAAAGATAACATGTCCAGACAGAAGGGGTTCCCCAGAAAAAGACCCTGGGACCACGGACGATTTCCTCCACTTTTTCCGACGGATAAACCACAGAGCAAAAGGGCCGGTGGGTGAACGGTCTGTCATACGGTGTGGCAGTGATGAACGATTGGTCACTGAAATGTTTCGATGCTGATCGCAACAGGGAAAAGATATTAGGTCTGGATACCGTACTGGTGATCAAAGCTCAAGCTTCCTTGTGGGAGAGAAGAAACGCTGCGCGAAAATGTCATCATGTCTGTTTCGTGACGTCGAATTTAAGGTTCTATATCGGGTTTGAGGTGTTGGCTCGAGCTGGAGCGATTTCTTAGCTACTGTAGTCTTCCCGGAAGTTATTACCGAAGTCAAACTGTCGCTATGTGTAACAACCAAGAATTTGAGGGTTCATTTTAGTTTTTGATACCTTATATCGGATTTCGTTTTTTCATTCAGTTATTGCTACCTTTCTAACCTCACGCAAACGGGCATAAAATTTTAATGGCAGACAGCTTTTAAAAGGCATGGTCTTTAGAACCGGCCAGGATTTGAATGAATTAAATTTTTGAAACATTTTATGATTTGAACCATTGTGATAGTGATTGGTTAGTCGACGATTCAGCAGAACCGCGACAGGGCCAAGTTGGTCCTTTGCAGAAATCCAACCGAGTACCGATGAGCCAAACCTGTATAGTGTTGATTTTATGTTTTTCATTCTTATTGATTTATTAAAATTTTTAGGCTTTGATCGATCTTCTATCTCTCCTTCGCACTCTCTCTCGCTCGCTCTTTCACTCTTCCTCTCTCTCTCTTTCTCTCTCTCTCTCTCTCTCTCTCTCTCTCTCCCGCTTTCATAAGCTTTCTGACTTTTCTAGATTCCCTTTATGCAATCTGTTGGATGCATATCAGATGGGTGGCAACCCCCCCCAGTAGTCCCTATCTCCCTGGGCCACTTGTGTGTTTTGGCGCCAATTGATGCATAGAAATAGCGCCAACTCTAGGAGAGCATATTTGGTTGGTCCGACATCAAATAGGTCAAGGCGAGAAACAGGGAAATACGTATTGCTGTCTAGGTATGTAAATTAAGTGAATCTGTGAAGAAGTAACAACATTTTCAAGGTGTTTTAGTCCAGCCACCCGGGTTCGATCCCAGCCAAGAGCGGGGCTTTTTGCTATCAATTCTGCCGGACATATCGATGAACGCAAATCGCTAAAAAACTAAAAACAAAAGAATTGTGAATTAAAAATAAACTGTTTTTTAAGGTGTTACCAGGCGGGGGGCCCGAGTTCGACCTCTCCTGGAACGCCTTTTTTGCTTTTTGCTTTTACGCTTTTTCACATGAATAATAGAACTGAAATTATCAATATAAAAAAAATTATGCACTATAAAACGGCAAATAGGACTTTGCGAAAAACAGTTAATTGACATATGCTAGATATGCCGTTTTTCGGTCCCAAAACCTCGATTTCCATTTTTCGATTAAAACCACCATTTTGTATGAAATTTTTTACCGTTTTAAATTTAGATTTTAAAACTGGCAGATGTGTCTCTCTTTCAGTCCCAGAACCCAGAACCCTTGCCGGGAATTATATGGGCTATTAATGCTGCCATATCCACTGGGGGTACCTCTAGGGGTTTGCATAACCCCGGATACCTATCGAATGTGGTTGAAGGTTTGAGTTGGCGCTAGATACGATAGAGCACGACCTTTTAGAGGGTAGTGGCATAAAAACGGCGAGAGACCCCTGCTCCTATTGGAGACCCGAGGCGGCTAGGCTGACCCGGTTGGGGGTTCTATGGAGTCTCGCTGGCCCCAACCCTCTAGCTATGTATCTAGGCGTACTCTAGGTGGTATTTACTGTAGTTTTCGATGTACAGTATCGCTTCTGGCCTTTGGCTAAGATCAATGTGTAGTATCTGTTCTTATCGGCTTAATCTCCGGTACGTGTTCTATTGAACACATCGAGATTAACATATTTTTGGAAATGGTACGGTTCGCAGAAGCTTGCTTCTCGCCGTACAGCGTCGGCCCGGTATTGCACCTACCGCCGGGAACGGCGCACACCCCACACGGGGTGAACAATATTTTAAAAAGAAAGAGCGCAAAAAGTTACATAGAATATGTATTTTTCATAAAATTGGATATTGTAAGGTATATGGAGTAAAACTTAGGTTGAAGGTCCCGGGGGGGGGGGGGGGGGGGGAGGGCGTCTGGGGTTCGGAGTGGTTAGGGTATTCAAAGGCGTTTATGAATTTGGATTTGCATTTAAGAAACGGATACGGCTCGAAAAATTATACACGCTGCTTATTTTCAGTAAAATCCAAAAAATGGTTTATATGGGAAAAATCCTTCATTTTAGAGTAGGGTCCAAAAACGAACATGGGGCGTCTCTAGGTTCAATATACAGGGTGTCCCAAAAAAACGACCCTTCTGGCATTTCGCCGTGTTACCTCCAATCGGACCCAAATTTGGACCAGAGGTGTATCAGACCCTAAATAACCACAATCCTGGCTTATAGCCCTGTAGCTACAGTAGATTTCGAGTTATGGCAAAAAACAAACTTTATTTTCTATTTTTCATAGTGTTTTCGTGGAATTAGACCCCCTAAACATTAAGTGAAAATGATCCGGTAGGCCTTCTTTACCGTAAGAAATTTTTTCCCGACTAAATTAATTAAATAATCTTCGATTTAAGCGATTTTTACAACGCAAAATTACCCAGGTTCTTAAGCGAAATTAGGGATTCGCAGCCGGAAGTCGATGCAAGTCGATGCAAAGTCCAAAAAGATAGCCGAAAAAACTGTTCAGAATTCTCTGAAAAACAGTATTTGCGTTATAACTCGAGAACGACTGTAGCTACGGGGCTAAAAGTCAGGATTGTTGTTATTTAGGGTCTCCTACACTTCTGGTCCAAAATTTGGGCCGATTGAATGTAACACGGCGAAATGCCAGATGGTTCGTTTTTTTTTGGGACACCCTGTAGAATACTAATTTGCATCGGCATTTAGGATTCTATCCATGTATCAGGTTGGACCGAGTCTTTTCATCGTCTTCAGCGGTTTTGTATTTCCACCAGGTTGCCGGGTTTTTCCGCTTTCCGTCTAGGGCTACTTGGCGCATAAAATTTTGTCCATCGCCTTTTTTTTTCAGACCGCTTCTCCCTGAGACGCTGTTGACCCGCGCGGCGACTCGCGGCCCTCTGCTCTTCGGCCATTGAATTTCTATGACAGATCCTCCCAGCATTTGGCGGTTTAGGGCCGTTCTTTTCTTTCTACTTGGTGCCCATTCGTCAACATGTAGGCCAGTCGTTATTGTCTCTAGTGGAACAAATCGTTCGGTGGTCTGATGAAGGGCTTTTCATTCATGACGACCGCGATGTGAACGCTCCACCTATTTTGAACTTTCGTTGCGAACGACTCCATTTTCAGCCGCCCGCTTTCACGGGACAATTTTGCAACCTATGTACGCCGGTACCGCAGGGATGGCATTGTCTTCATTTCGGTTTTTTTTCCTTGCTGTCAATTTTTCGACAACAGGGCAATACACAGCACAGTAGTAGGTACTGAATTTCTTGTCCCAAACCCATTGTTCATTTGGATCCAACAAATTGTGTGGTTCAAGTTGATATCTTCTGCGGCCCAGTATAGTTTGTCCTGGCAATTACGCGTTTGAATCGGATCCGCCAGTTCATACAACCTCTTAACCGCCACCAAACTCGGAAACGGCCGACGAAGGGTTGTCATTTGGGGCCCGAACCCCATTTGCATCTTTCTATCGGTCAGGAAAGGTTGGGCCACCTATTTAATTTTGTTCGTACTTGTTGTACTACTGCTGCTCCATTTGCTATTATTTATTCAGCAACTGTGGCCTCATTCGACAAAATTTTCGAAATCTAAACTGGGTATTACACTGCGGGTATTTGCCTCATAACTTCAGTAGCAAGTGGAGTTGAAATCGGGTGGCGGAGTTCATACCTGACCCAATCATGCTAAATTGGAAAGATACTGGCTGCTTCCATATTTTTGCGTCCGAAAATTTGCATCGCTTTCGGTTCTATCCATAGTATCACATCAGTTCATAAGAAAAAAATCACGTGAGAAAGGCATCCACTGTAGGTATGCTCAGTCCCTACACTAACTTACATATCGGCGTAAGTAGAGGAAAATGGTTTAATGGTATTTGTATTGCGAACAATCTATCGACTTGCTGTTTATATCATCAGCAAAGTCAACTAAGTACGTTCTATATACAAAAAGATATTTACCCGAAAAACCGCCCAAGCTAAAGCGATTTTTTTGGATAAAAGTTTTTGGACCCCCTGGGGTGCGTTTCAAAGGCACCCGGGGTGCGTTTCTTTGGGGTGCTGTCCGACACTAGTGGTGGGGTGATACGGTAGGATGGCAATGAGCGATGGTCGCTGAAATTGCGGTAAGGTCCGGGAGACCCTTGTTTCGGTGATCGGAAATCAAATACCATCTCTGGATCCATAATGGTGTTTACGGTTATTATCATAAAAATATAGTAAAGTGTACGGCATCACATATACTATAAGCTTTACCCCATAACTTTTTGAGCAAACCAATGCCCAAAGATAGAAGTTGAAATGATGTCGATTTCGTTTGACTCCGAATAACGCTGCTTGCATGCTTCCAAATTTACTCCCTTTACCAGGCTCTTGATTAAGCACAAAAAGGATTATGCTGATGCAGCTTGTCACCTGGTATTCAGAGCCGACTAAATCAAGCCTGGACCGTATCGTTCTGGTTAATCATTAGCTTACCCCAGCATATCCTACAATATCCCTTCGGCTTCGTTTCGCCTTCGCTTTCCCATATATCGACCCTTTTCGCAATTTTCCCGGCTACCCTGATCTCTGTCGTACATTTCCGTTGGCTCGACTGGGCACGACGGGGCTCCACCTAAAAAGCGCGCTGAGCGTGTGGGGGCGATGATACTAAAAAAAACCCACGATGATCCGGGCGATGGTTCGAAGCCGGGTGGATCCCGATTTTTTGCGCCCTTTGTTTCGTTGACGGCAACTTTGGGAAAAAGGGGATCAAATTGTGGTTGGAGACGCCTTCTTTGAGACATTTGGGAAAGCGTTCGGGAAGCGATATCCATGGTCACCATCATCGAATTCTGTGCTCCGCCATCGGTCGCGACTTCATCACCACGTTTTGGAAGATCAAATTTTACAATGCTTTTGGAGATATACCAAGGACCTACAGTATTGGGTGAAATTCTGTGCTATTTTTCCGTACACTCGTCATTTCGGGGCTTCAATTCATTTTTATGTAAATCCTGAAAATAAAAATCTCCTCGAGTTTGGGCCAGCCGGCCTGAATCAAAACTACTTGTATCCAAATTTTACGCATTAAATAATAATATTTATGCAAATTTCATTGAGAAGGCCGTTTAAGATTTGTGTTGCCCTTCCAGGCTTGGATGGTATGTTGCTGTGCCGACGCCTTCTGGAATACGTTGGGCCCGCTGGTGTGCCTCGACGACGTGTCCATGCTGACTGTGAGGTGCTGCATCCGGCCCAACGGTACCCCAAAAAAAGTATCGCGAAGGTCACGGCGGAGGCTTCTGAAAGAATTGATGTTACATCGTTCTCCTCTTGCACTTGATTTGATTATTTGCTGGACCTTATGATCGATTTCTCAGATTTTTTGCGTTTGCAAACGCCCAAATTCCCGTTCTAATCGCAGCTTCAAAAAGTCTAATCCGAAACCCGGTGTTTCCCCTCACATTTTCGCTATGCGTGCGACAATCCAATTCGGCGCAAACGCCCGCCAAAAAGCTATTTATGACCCTTCGCGTAAAGTCAATTTGTTCAAAGTTCCGGGTCCCAATCCTTTTACTGCAAAATCGCAAAATAAAAAACCTAGAACTTACTTGTTAAAAATAAAAAGCACAGCAGGCTCCTGTGAGCACTGGAGGACCCATAAAAGTTGTGAAATAAAATTAATCAAGACTGCGGTGGTAGGGGTCGAGTCGTCAGCCCATGGCAACACCACTTCCCAGCCGACAAAGCAGATGATAGAACAGCAGAAAGTGACGAATAGCTAAAAGTAAAAAAGAATAAAGATATTAAGAAACCGCCTACCTGGATGGTAATGGTATAATCGGCTTTCTTCAACTTCCGCTTGTGAAATAGAAGTAATGGCGTTATAACGGCATAACTCAACGCTCCGGCAACCAATGAAATATAGTTGCAACAGATTCGGATCTGATTTGTGATCTGGGAGAAGATCCAAATCTTGTCGAATTTTAGGAATAGTAGCTAAAGCAGCCATACTCGACTGAGCTATCGATATTTTCATACCTGCCTAGGAGAAAAGTACGCCGCACCTTGTGGGGTATAGAATTTAATAGCGACAAAGAAGAATAAAAATATATCAAAGATTAAAATTGTCTAAAATGGTACAGAATAGTGCCAAAAAAGTGTTTCATACCATAAATACCCATTTCGGTATGTCCTTGGCTCGATGGGGAAAGGCGATTAGGGTCATGCGATGAAGCGAAATGACGCCTCTCAATAAATCTGATGAAAAACATGCGGCGTAGCCCAGCGGAATTGTTAGCTAGAAAAAAAGGTATAATCGCTATTACCGTAAATTACCATAGAAAATTTAGGACCAGTATCAGCGACTAATGTAATGACGGCAGCCACCATATGTGATTGCATTTGAATGAGATTGAGCAGGCATAGCTGGGCCAGGATAAAATAGAAAAAGGTAGAACAGAGATCTTTGGTGCGTCGGATGGCGACCTAATGGTTTTAAGGTTTTAATAAATCGATCTATGCTTACGATCAGCATCCCAATATTCACTGGAAATCCTATAAACGCGGCAACGATTTGTGGGATGCCATAGGCGATTTTATGCTCTTCATCTAGTATCGGGTAGTCGGGAGGGGAAGTTGGATGTGGTGGGAGCCAGAGAAAAGTTAGGTCCTCGTAGTCTCCCATCTAAAACAAATCTTAGATAAATATTGCTACAAAATAGAATAGACAACAAATAAAAGCCAAAGACAGCATTTTCATGGTATCGGTTCAACACCAAATTTGAGAGCTTATTGAAACAGCGCAAAAGATCCATATCCGAAACTGGGGCCAAAGTTGAATCCAATCTCCACCAGCCCGCAAAAAAAGGAAATTTACTCCCCAGCAAAAAAACCGGCAAATGGCCTCGCGACGGCGGTTCCATAATTGGCCCCAGGGTTGAAACGAGCAGATTTTAGGGTGCCCCCGTAATCAATCGGGGACAATTTTGTTCCAAAATTCGTCAGGGATCCCCAGAAAATCGCGGAAATCGTGAGAAGCGCATCAGAGCCGAAGCTTTGAAATTTCAGCTTTTAAAAATTTTGGATTTTTGCCTCTTTTTCGATAAACTTTTTTGATCAAGCCGTGGCAACATATGGGGATGGTTATCGAGTCCCACGTCGAAACTATGACCGATGTTGGGTCGCGATTCGATTGGTTGCGCCGGAACTATCCAAAAACATCTTAAAAACCCATTTTCCTGGTAGATTTGATTGACGACGAACGAAGTGGACTGGTTTCCACGCAGGCAATGAAATTTTGCGCAATTTCCGGCCTTTATTAGATCCATAAATGCGGCCATGCAGATGATAGACTAGAAAGCAATCGGAGCCGGTGGAAAATTCTTTATCGCGAGCTGGCATCGGAAGCTCTTGACTAAAATGTAATAAGAAAGAGAGAAACGGTAAAGAAACGGTTATGGTCTTCGCGTGTATGGGCACCAGGTGGGCGAGATATTTTAATATCGCTTCCAAAAACCCCGATTCCAGCTGCCGCCAGCTGGAATTCGTTGTCTACCGGCGTCAAAGAAATCGAAAAACTTCCGGCCCCCATGTAGTCATCTGACACGTTGCTGCTCACCAGCTGAAAAATTCTCAATCCTTTATTTATCCGTATTTTGATACAAACCCGTTTGGTGTCGAGAAATGGCATATGCTAAGTTTAAGGTATCAGAGGGTAACATTGGGTAATGGATATCCTAGATAGACATAATCATAGAAATACATCTTTAGAAAGGTTTCAAGGAGCATAGGATCATTTTTAAGTTGTTCGGTGTACTTCATGCGGTCACCGGTTTGGTAGGTCGAGTGGTAGGTTCGTTTTCCGATCACCTAAAATTTGGGAATTTATGTAATGAGGTAAAAAAAGGCCTGAAGCACCTGGGCTAATTGCTAGTTCTTGCGACGGGGCAAGCATAATACTTGCCGTCCAAATTTTGGGATTAACAAAACACCGGAAGAGTGAGAGAGAGAGAGAGAGAGAGAGAGAGACTAGCTCACGTTGAACTTTCTTGCTTTTGTAAAATTGGTAATTATAAAAGAATTACCTGCTCTTTCACTCGATCTCCAACCCTCTTTGGCACTCCCAGCGCCTCAAATTCATCAAACAATTCGTCGAGCATTTGTCCGGTTGTCGGATGGGAATAGTGGAAAAAGCGATACTCGGAGAAATGGCTCCCGAGCTGGCAGTACCTAAAAAAATAGCCGGAAGTCGAGGTCTACAAGCGGAGAGAAGTAGAAAACTACAAGTAGAGAAAGCCTACCACGTCTGTGGTGCAAAATGCTCGTTCTCCATGCTGTAGCCCGGCTTTCCGCCCCTGGTCGCTACCAAAAATGAGTTGTATTGGGCCTTGATGAAGCAAGCTAGGTCTCCTTTGCATCCATAGCATGAGGTTCCGGTCGGGACGGTCTTATTTTTGGCTTCCGCTTTACTGAAAAAAATACATTTTGTATTCGATGCTATTGATTAGATGAGAGGCCGTTTAGACACGTTTTGTTCGCGCATTAAAGGAACGAGCTTGAATTTTGACTGTAGGTTATGCTTCGACGTCAAACCTTTTTAGTGTCATCGCTAGCGGGCTTAAATTTGGCACAAAATACCACAAACGGCTTTTGCCTCTTTTTAGCACGCGGTATCGCTCGTACCTAACCGTCCAGTACAACTTTTAACAAGCAGCCCACATCACAAAATACCCACATGACGCATTTGTCCAAAAACCCCGAAATAAACCGCTCCATCGGCTCCCTCGTCAGCACATAATATCTCCACAAATTCAGCTTGCTCTGCATCTTGGCCATCTCGATCCTCCGCTGCCCGCCGGCCCCAAAGAATTCGTTCTTATTGCCGCAGTGCCTAAACTGGTTCGCTGGCCCTGGTGGTGATCACCCAAATAATTCGTGCGATTCGCGTATCGGAAACCGCTGGGCAAACTTGTAGTGCGCCCCCCAGTGTGCCAAAAAGTTAAAGTCCAGCACCGAGCGCCTTTTTGGGGGGAGTTGCAAAAAAAAGCGGGAACGCAAAACGGCATCGAAAATCCGGGAGCGACGTTAAAAATTCAAAAGCTCAGAAGAGCAGCTCCGAGAAAATTTCGGGGGTGGTTTTGTGGTGTCTATGTTGTCAAACGGAGTGAAGAGGAATGGCTACCTGAAATCCCAGGTATCCTGCATCATATCTTGCACAACATTTTCATAGCTGGCAATATCGTAGAGGTAGCACATAATTGAGGTGAGGACGGTGGAGAAATTTTTGAGGATTGCACAGGCGGCGATGCCAAAGTGTTCGGCCATCTTAAAAAGGGAACATATTCGGAAATTCAAGTTTTAGACACGGCGAAACACAAACCTTGACAACCTACCAAATGGCGCCCACTGTAGTCAATCATCGGTTGCAAAATTGTGCAATTAGTTTTGTAAAGACAAAATTTCTTCTCAAACTCGAGAATCCGCATTTGCGAATTGACACTGGTATTTAACTAAAAAAGGTTTTCTATTTTAGATGGTATTTACCCCATTTTGTGGTACAGCCGCGACACTCGATTCGACGTTTCTTTTGGCAAAGTGTCCCGACGTTGTGCTCGTTTTGCCGTGAAATGAAAATATAATGAGAAATGCGGAGGCGATCATCAAGATGGCTTTTGGGTAGAATTGTGGTCGGCTGAAGATTTTGTGCATTCTGAAAAGTTTGAATTCGGAAAGGCTTTTGAATTTTGAAGAAATTTAGCGAAGGCAGAAAGCGTGAGAAAGCGAGAAAAAGCGAGCGGCAGTGCTCGCCAAAATTACGAGTCTCTGAAAGCGTAGAGCCTGGACAAGTCACGAATGCCAGAATTTCCAGCCGAAAATGCAAAGCGGCAAGAGAATGTCAGCCAGAGGCTAGACCCGGAAATCCCACCCCAAAATAACAAATGAACATCGGCAGCATCATTCCCCGATCTACAAGCAAGCCTAGATGACCAAACACAGCAACGCCCGCGGGCCATCTAACGCGTGTCATGGCGATTTCTGTATGCGCAGCTATCATGTTTTTGTCTATGCTTGCTTGCCATGCACAATGCTTTTTCTCGCGTTGTCAGCTAGACAAAAACGATCGGCATTCGCCCAAAAATGGACACTGGAGGGTGGTTTCTGGTGTCGATCGGCGACCGAGAGAAATTAGGGTTGCGATGGTCGTATGGAATATTCTAAGCGACATGTCATTTCGGTTTTTTCTGTGTTTAGGGGTTCAGTTGGCTACGGTTTACTTTACCCCCCCCCCAACTGGAAGTTTTTGGCTATAACTTTTCTATTTTACATTATTGTAGGCTCAAATTAAAACTCTTAGTATATTTTTCGACGCTCTATCGAATGGCGTTGCAAAAATCCCGACAAAATAAGTGAAAATGCCGACAACTTTGAGACCCTTCGGCTGTGGGGGGGGTAAAGTAAACCCTTACCGTTCAGTTAGATGGCCGGATTTTGGCGGCCAATTTTGGGTTGGGAAAGTGAACGTTTGTCTTGAGATTACGATAGTTTGGCGAATTTTTGGGGAGATAAACGAGTTTTTTATAAATCTGTTTAAAAATCGTTCGCCAGTTTTTGTAATGACCAAATTTCCAAAAGGTTGCGCCGAAAACAAAAGGGGTTTTCACCACTAGAAAATGACTATTGCTCTGAGGACCTGAAACTACTTCTATGGAAATCGGTCGAAGAACAAATTTTGAAGGCTTTTAGGTTTAAATTTTTAGTTTTACACGTATATTTTTAATTTTACACGTATATTTGATCAGGTTGTTATTGACTAGAATTGCAATAGCAGCAAATTCAAAATTGCTAGCTTTATTGCAATTCAAATTAATTTTTTAAGCTTGGTACGTTAATTTAGAGTTTTGAATCATTTTCCGAAAAATATGAAAAACTTAAAATGGCGATAAATTTTAATCTACCCAACCAAGAACCCAGCCTTAAAAATCAACGACAAGTGAAACGGCGCACACGCGCGCTCAAAATGTTTTTGTCGCCAGGGTTGAAAAACGCACAGGAGTGGCATCAGTGTTTCACTGGCCAGCACAACCGATGATGCCCTCCGCGCAAGCTTCCTGCTAAAATACACCCCAAAACGGAGGCTGTTCCGATGAGCGGCGCCGGTCTTCGGCTAGCCGCCACACAAATTCCTCGGCCTCGGAATAAATAAAATATCGACAATGAGTCGGAAGCGTGGGTCGAATAATGGCAAAAAAATGGGGTGAAAACATCTCGAACGGAAGGCGCTGGAATGGATTTATCGTTTTGTGGGAATTGGCCGAACACTGATCACAAAAGAATTAGAAAATAGGACATCGAAGATCTTTCACATTGCTGCTTGTTAATCTGCCAATTCTACCGGTAAGCTTGCGGGGTTTCTGATTTGAATGTGGGTAGAATTTTTAAAAATTGGGGGATTAGGGTGTTGGGAGTCAGATTAAGTGCAGCAGTAGCAACCTCAACACAATACGCTGGTATTTGTAAAAAGGCTCCAAAAATTGCCACAGCTGACATAGACATAGACACTGACAAGGGATAGCTATGGACCTTGCCGCTCCAGCGACACGCAACGCGCAGCTCGCGTCTGGCTATCGTAATCAATTACACGATTAATTATCGTATTCCTCTTGTCCGAAAATCCTTGCGGCGAAATTTGAATATGCCAAGGTTACAATTTTCTACAGTCTAGGATCAGGAAATTTCGAGAACACGGAAACTTTGACAAAATGAAAAACTGGTCTACTACTATCCAAAAACCAATACCCGATTTTGCATTGACCACCAGCTGTGTGCACTGTTTTTTTTTGGTGTGATGCACAAGGCGGGTCACAAATAAAAACGAAATGATAAGAGGATCAAACGAGGACCGGCCACGCAATTATATCCACCCAGAGATCAGGGCTCGCTTTCCCTCCTCGGGGGCCATCCCCCCACTTCCTTTTCCGGTGCACTAAAACGCACTGCGTTTCCCCCGGTTCGGCCATTCCCTAGCGCCGTATTTGTTCAGAAATTTTTGGGGAGTAGCGGATCAAAGCCCGGCATCAATTTTGAAAGGATCAACTGATTAGTCATAAAATTGTTCGAATCCCAAGTATTTCCTTTCATCTTTTCTTTCAAAAATTCTAAAATGTATCTAAAAACTCAGACCCAGGTTGTTTTTCGAGTCTTTTAAGACGTTGTTGATATCACAAATGCTTTATTTATGGTGAACAATGTGGGGATGCGATAGAATAGAAGAATTATTCAAATTAAACAATCCCTGGAGCGGTATTAGTATGTTTTGAGCGCTCGACTCGCGCAACCGGCACCGATTCAAGCCGGACCCGAATAGTGAACGGAACCATAAAAAATCGGCGAACCGCGGCACTCAACGCAATAAGAGAATACAATTGTGTAAACAGCACAAGATCGTTAATCCAAAAATATTGCCAACTAATCCACGAAGCCAGATCGGTTAAGTTGTACAGATTGGCGTACGAGCGGACTCCCTAGAATTAGCACGGTCACCATCAGCAAAAAAATGTCGAAATTTACCTGTTGAGCTCCCATCAATAAACTAAAAGTGAAGGCAACAATTGTTTGAAGGCCCAGCTGACGTTCTGAGGATTTTCCGGAAGCTACACGGACCAATCGGCGGATCATAAGGGAATTCAGGAAAAAACATAGGACCGTGACGATAAGGCAAATTATAGATGATACGGCTTTATTGATCTATATTTATTGATTTTAAAATATATGTTATTGTCCTACCCCAGCCCAGGGTGCTAGATTACCACGAGCTTGATAAGTACCATCACCGAGATCCGCGACAAAAATTGGGATCGGAATAGTATAGGCCATACAGAGGAAAGCAAGGATCCATGGAATGATGTAGGTCCATCGTCCGATTTTCGACCAGATCTAGATACCTACTGATGTGTAATGATGGCTATACCTTTTCATGGCGTTGAAAATCCAGACACAAGGCTGTAAATCGGTTAATTGAAGTCATCAGCATGGCGAAATAGAATGTAAAGTAGCTGAGTGATGAGAAAATATTGCATAGGCGGTATGGCATCTAAAGAAATTTTGCGAACTGTCGCTCTCTCTCTCTCTCCTCTCTCTTTCCACCCCTCTCACTCGCGTTCTTTCTTTCTCTCTGTCTCGCTCTCTCTCTCTTACCTCATCTGGACCATAATGTATTAAATGTAAATGTCGTAAAACAGCATTTGCAATGATGGAGATGACGTCCCCAAATACTAAATTTACATGAAGCAGAATACCACGTCGTTTTGACCGTAAAACTTACCTCCCGATAAGAATATCTTAAAGAACGCGGTCCGGAACAGCTTTTCTTTGCTTCTCACAATCTTCCAAGATAAGAATATGGCCGTGAGCGAATATACAACCTCCGTAATTAGCAGAAAGATGTTGAAAGGATCATACATTTCCTAAAAACTGCAACTCTTATATGGAAAAACATATATTTGCCAGAAATTTGGAATTCCTTATGGCTGGGCATTGGCAAAGTTCAGGGTCGATTCCGTGTAGTCTGTTATAATGCCAGTTGCATAGACAAGATACCTACGGAAGATTTCTCTAGGGAGGGGTTTACAAATTTTTCTGCCTATCCCTCCGCTAATTTCGGTTGGAGGTGAATGAGTAAAAGGGGGAGATTGTGGTCAAATTCCAGGAAAAAAAACTGCAACGAAAGTTCGAGATTGGCTTGAGACTGTAGCCTCATCATTATTTTCAAGGGATAGAGGTAAGTCAACTGGTTAGGGATACTGAAAATCGTAGATGTGTGAATCAATGTGGTGCTTTTTGCTTTAAATCGCTAATTGAAAATAGCTAACCATGTTCAGCACACAGCTAGACGCTTTCCCGTTGGTTTCTATCTATTTTGGAGAGTGTTGTCAGCGTTGGCAATTCGGATCTCTCTTAAAAATACAGGTGGAAATTCATTCGCAGCTGCCGCACTAAAAGGATATTTTTCCGGATATATGAATTTCAACAAGGAAGATTTTCCTGACCGCTCGGCAACTATTTGAAGCCGTCGAAGCGTGATTAATTCTCTAAAAACAGCCAGATCCATAGTCGACTTGCCGGTAAAAACTCCTAAGTGTCTACGTCCGAATCTGGCGGAATTAGCACTTTTGTAAATTAGCTTCGTGGTTTTTGATCGCGAGTATTAGTGCCGTGTCCACAAAAAAACGGAATTGCCGTGCGAATCCGAACCGGCGGCGCCACGCGCCTTTCCGGCTACAAGTTGTCTGTTTTTTTGTAGGCGTGCAAGAGGACTTTTTAAAGAAGACATGATCTTTCCAAGGTTTATTGACCTGGAAAGCATATATGAACTTATAGCGGATATAGTTCTTGCGGTGACGCTGATTCGGCTGGTCAGGGGATGGGGGCGTTGAGTTGATTTTGATCTCGATACTGGAGCGGATGCCGAATAGTTGGCGGATCGAGGCGCTTTTCTAGTAGGAATAACTTGGTGTATCTAAGTTAAAAAAGAGGTTTTCTGCGATTCCTTAGCTTTACAAAACTTTGCGCGTTTTATGAAAAACACAAAAAAAATAGAAAATATAGGTTCTTCGGCAATGCATGGCAGAGTTTCCAACAAAATTTCATACCCGTCAGAGCTTTTTAAATAGTTCGCACTAAAACCGTTGTTAATTTTAGTAAAAAACATT